CTTTGTGTAGTGGACAAGATAAGGCCGTATCACGTTTCGCTTATAGAGATAAATATGTTTGGAGACTTCTAAGTTGCACTATTAGGTGAAGGGTGAGCAAACAAATGAGGAAAGTTTTTAGTAATTCGTTGTAGTTCGCTATCACAGCTACACAGTTATTTTTAGCAGAAGCGGTGGAAAGGCACGGGATTTTGGAATCTCCTAAACCAGATTCATAGAAAATCTGGTGTTTCGCGGTCATGATTTTCTCAGGCAGAATACTAGGTTGTTTAGTCGTGAGCCTTTCACAGGTTTGATGTGTGATTATATATAGAATTGTTGATCTCTTTCTTGAAAGATTCGTTCTTGACTTTTCCATTCTGATGACGACCAGTTAGTAACCTTACGACCTACGGTATTGACAATGTACAGTTTCCAGCATAGTATCCAATCTTTTGTAAAAATTGTAACGTGATATTGCCAAAAATTGAATCTCTAATGTGTAAAAAAAATCGTCGTTTCGATAAGTAAGAGTCACATTGCCAAAATTCATGATTTCCAGCTAAAATCTGTGACTTGCCAACAATGGAAACGAATATAAAAGTTCACTGGTGTCAGAAAAACTTCAGATGATATCAAGAAAGAGACGGATTTCATATTAAATCAGCAGTCCCACAGAATGATTGCGTAATTTCTCGTTTTATGAGGCTTTCCCGCACCTTGACTACGAACAAGGTTCATTCCAAACGGATTTGCATACATCAATACCACAAGCATTCGTTGGAATAGAAAGTCAAGGCATAGTAAAATCGAATTTCGAAGGATTACCTCCTGAGGAGAAAAGCCCGGATGGAGGTCAACTGACTATTACACTGTCGGGTGTGATATTTTACTTAGTTACATACTTTAAACGTCACCAGCGTTCACTCGGACGCAAGTTTCATTTTCTAGAATACGTTGGCCCAAAACGAAAGTTAGGAGTTAGGAAAGTTATGCGCAAATCTGTAATGGAATAGATAACAGCAATTGCCATAATATAAGCACATTGGGATGAGCTGTCATTTTCAATCGCAACTGTGGGACAATGTTTCGCGTTTCATTCATCTTACATGTATTTCAGTTGAGAGAATGTTTATGTAAATGAACGCAACGGAAATGTTTTAGTCACTCACCTCGAATTTTGGTTTCTGATTCAATTAGTCATTTTTGACGTAATATACGTTGTTTACGTTTATGACTAAATCGGCGTGGTGTTATTACACTCAAAATATTGTTGATACAAGAGGAACAATTTGTTTGAAACATCTTACAGGCGAGAACATAGTTTGTTAAAAAAATGATTTGCAAAGTTTGGCGTTATTTTTACTGAAAAGAGCATGTTCGAATAAAAACAGCCAGCTTTAAAGGTGAGTGAGGTTAAAATCAACCCAGTCGTTCTTCATCTATTTCCGCCTGCAACCCCGCCGAGAGCGTCAAATTTTTAAAGGCGAGATGTCAAATATAAATATTATAAACAGACGATCATAAATCAATGAACAAAAACACCTGTGAGTAACTCTATCCTTGATTAATATACGATAAGCGCGAAATATACTCGATATATCCAATTAATACATAATATATTCATGAATGCGTGAGTAATTTAAAGTAGACGGCTAATTACGAAATTAAGGCTTTTTTATGCAAAAATGGTAATTTTGAGGCTTCTATATATGCAGGATCGAAATAAATTGTAAAGGACTATGAATATTTTTGAGTAGCATTACAATTTTGAATAAGTCTCATCAATGTCGAGGATATTTAAGTGCGGAGATCAAATGATACAACTTTTCTTGCATAACTTAGAAATATTTGAAATCTTACTTCTGAGAGAATACGACGACTGTTTTTGTTGAATAATTGTTAGCTTAGATTCTCCATAATATTTTACTAAATTTCAATATCAACTCATTTCCGGAATCCAGACATCGACGCATAATTGCTGGTGGAGTGTTTACACAAAATTGTCAGTATTCAAAAAAAATAGGGATACCAAAATAAATGAAATACAACACAACTTAATTTCTTTACCATCAGGATAATGTAAGAAAGAAGCGCAATAACGCAAGCTAAGTTATTTCAATCTGACATGTTTAATACAGGGTTTAATCAAATCACATGTCGGAGTTCCTTTATTAGGTCTGATTAAAATGCCTGCTGGGATTTCTCAAAGCATCCGTGCGTTGAACAAAAGTGTCCTGCTGGTATGGCTCATATTTTATGATAATGTTGTTGTTTGTGTTAATATAAGAAAAAGCGTCAATTCTAAGAGTGTGTGGAAATATTTGTTCAATGATTTTGATAATGATTGTCGTTCGAAAGGTTTCCTCGATGTTTCTGTTTTAAAATACTTGTCACGTAGATGGGCTTAAAAAGACATCCTTTTGTGATAATAATAACATTGGTTGTTTACTACTCGAACTAAAATATTATTCACGTAGGCAGATGGACATTGGCCATTCAAATTTACGTATGTGTTGTTTTCCCATAAGATCATTGAGCAACGAAGATGGAGAATAATGGTTTGGTCAGTAGGTGTCTGACGTCACACTTGGACGCTCTAACATTCGTCATAATGCAAGAAAAACAAGGTTCGTTCACGCCGTCGCGTTCTTCAATGAATCTTGTTATTGGTAGTAGCCATGGGGCTTTTACCCCGAAACGAAATATATTGGTCTATTCACGTTAGGACGATTAGCATTGTTCCCGTCGCACGGGTGCTATTGATTTTATCAGACGTGTATCGATTTTTAGACTCTTATTTTTCGCGTTTTTGTTTAGGCACGAACACGATGCGGTTTTTAGAGAGATTCAGGAAAAGATAACGCCAGAGTAGATGAGGTAGTCATAGACGATGCGCTTGCAGTTGCCAGTATCGGTTTGACAACGCGGAGTGCGCGTGTGGTAGGTGCGAGGCAGACAGTTGTAGATGCAAAAAAACAAATTATAATGTACATGACATAATTATATATTATCGGGTTGGGAACGTCATCTATATTTGTATTTTAAAAATTTCTTCTCGTTTGGACTATTTTGGGAAGTTACTGTGTTTACGTGATTTTTCGAGGCAGATTTGTTAGTTATGAATTACGGCAAATCTCTAATAACAAAGTCATGCTTATTGTATTGTGCAGAATATGTTACTTACGAACCTTTAATTTAATTTTGTTGGCGTTTACTGTTCAGTATGTAGACAGAATGCTTATATACAGGTAAGAGAATTTCGAGTTTTCTGAAATTTTTTTCTTGAACGATATTTGGGTAGTCGATATTTACCGGGTTGTTATCGCAAATACTAGACGTTAAACCAAATCTTCAGATGTATGAGAATTTAAATAAAAATATGTTCAAATGAACTTATGGGTTTGCTTACATAAAATAAGAATGATATAAAAAAATATAATATAAGAAGATTCCTAAAAATGCAGTTTTATTCAAAAACACGTCTGAAGGCGTCAATTCTTAAGCAACAATGATTAAATTCGTCTGCGGTACAGTGTGTGACAATTATGCCAAGATCTTGCTACATTGTACCAAATGCGCTACCGTGTCACAAAACGGTGAACCTTTGTGGTCCGAGCTCATTAATAAACAAAGAGGTCCGTATACACTAAATAAAACATCCATGTGCCGTGAAATTGTATACAAAATACAATTAAAAATGAAGTGCAAGTTTTCAATACAATATCTAGTTTGCTTAATCTGTTATTTCAATTATGAAAAACAATACTGTGCTGGTCAGATTATATTACATGTTATGGTTAAAAAAAACGCTCACGTTCATCAAATCAAAAATTCCGTTGCGGTATATCGCCTTGATGTTTGTTCCTCGGAATATATAACCAGGATTGCGGGATTACCTTATACCAAAACGCTTGCATAACCCTGCGACAAATGCCAGTGCAAATGTATTATTCAGTATCAACGCGTTTAGCGTGTGTCGCGTACGACATAGGTCTCCAGAAAGCTTTTTTGCATACTGTAGTACTACTGCCTTGCGACGGTGACGTATTTGTTTATATTCTTTTGATTTTAGCGGTTTTCAAGCTGCCCGTGAATGCGGTAGCAATGGTGACGTACTAAAACGTCAAATTTATGAATAAAAATGAGTCAAATACGCTCAGAAGGATAATTGAAAGTAGCTTTGGTTTTATGGAAAAATACGACAAACTCTCGGGGGTGCGCATACCTAGCTGTTTTAGGCTGTTGACAGTCGGCTGGCGACAACACATCAATGCGAACGCAACTTATTAATTGAATTAATACTGAGTGACACTGGGTCTTCATAGGTTGCTGAAAGACATCATGTATTGAAGTTCGACTTGACAGGCGCCACACGTCCTAATAGTAACATGTCGAAACTATTTTTTGATATTCCATGAGTTATGCTCGCTCGATAATTGATAATTCATTGAGTTATTCCGCTATAATATTCATGTCGATTATATGATTCTGGTAGATGTGCCGTCAACCCGACAATGACTGGACATGTTCCAACTTAATGGAGTTATTGCTATGACAACGCTCCGGGAACTAAAATAAAACCAAAGTAAAATTTAATGATACAAAATATATTGAAAAAATAATAATAATGGCAATACTTTTAATGAGACCGATGTGCTTTCATATCTTACAAAAAAGATCGAATCTTGGCTTTATTTTAGCGATGACGGGTCTCAGTTCTGGTTCCAAAGTTTTCAAATTTAATCGATATTTTCTTTTAACATAAGTTAGTGTCGAAAAAGATTTACCGCAACCCCCATTGAGCCTTTCCACAACCCACCGGGGGTCTGGACCCCCAGTTCATAGAACCCTTGTATAGGGAATAAGATAAAGCCACCCATCACCCGTATATGTTGTAAAGGCAATGATATCCAGCTCATTACATATGTATAGGCCTATTCAATGCTAACATCTAATTAAATTTACAACGCATATACGAGCTGATTTCATTTCTTACTCGTCATCTTTATTCCAGAAAATACTGCTTCGATAATAATAGAATTGTTGCATAAATTTGCCTAATTTGTATCAACATATGTCCCGTGTTTATGCTGTGATTGTGAAATCGATCGTCAGCTTACTTCTACAATAACAAGATACGATGTCTATTGAAACCTCGTACTCAACCCATGGGAACTTTGAGGTCAGCTCTCCGAGTCTGCATTCTATACAGATGCATAACGAAACCACAATGTTCGTGTTGCGGCATGTATCAGCGATTTCATCTTCCGTGACCTCGCAAAACTCAAAGGACATTTTCGCCTCGTCTGAATATGACGCTCCAACAACTGACGCAATGGCGCAATCTTTGTACACCAACGCGTTTAATGCAACGTATTACGATGTTTTTACCACGCAATCGGAATATTTTAATAACTCAAATTCAACGTTATCTTTTGAACAATGCGAGGAAAAGCTGCAGGTGAGTTGATTTTTGTCTTTTTTTAAATCTCACTCTACCGCTGGCAACTATACACGGCGCTCCAGAAGTGTGTGTACCAATATGGAGGTAACTAATTTTGTTCGCCTACTTTAGATCAAGTTGAGTAAAGGGACCGAGACCTATGGGCAGGAGAGGAGGATAATCACTTGGCTAACAAAGACAGTCCCCAAACTCGTAATAGAACTAAAATAAGAAAAATCGGAATAAAATTATGATCTAACCCTATCTTGGTACACACACTACGGGAGTACTCTATATAACGGAAGAAAAAACTATCTTCCATCACTCATCAGGGATGAAAAAATATCTCAAACTATTACGCTATTTCGGAAACTCAAATTAAAACAACATAACAATACTATATCGTCCTAAGCATTTCCATGAGTTAACGGCCCAGGGGTGGACAAGGTCTCCAGGCCAGGGGCCAAAAATTGTGCCCACCTAGACTGGCGGACCATGTAAGTGTGACGTAATAGATTACATTTTTCAACAATATTCACAGTGTTACAAAAGCAAAAGTGGAAAACAATACGCCTCGTGCCAATATAAAGTTAAACGCAGTATCAACAAATTCCTAGAGCTATTTAAACTAAAGGCAGCATCAGGCGGCCCAGATTAAATTACCCAACGGGCCGGATTTGGCCTGCGGGCCGTAGTTTGACCACGTCAGCGTTAACCGGTGGTTCTCAACCTCTTTTTTGGCACATTCCTCCATTGGCCTGGTTTTGAAGTTCTTGATTCGTCCCCCGCTAAGCATACAAGTTTCATTTGCATTTGTCATTCAACTTTTAACATGACATTTTATTGCAAGACTTGCAACACACACTCTGGCTTTTGTACATTTTGAACAGTTTATAGTGTATGCATATACATGCGTTACAATAATACTAAATGAGTAAAAATATCAGTGATGCTACACGCAAATACTAAGTAAAATTTCCTCTCCAAAAATTTTCAAATATCTCCCCAGGGATAAATTTATTCCTGCTGGAAAACGTGCAATAATCTATTTTGTGATGTGTACCTTTTAAGTGAATAAGTGGAAATAAGCAATGTCCAAAAATATAAACAGTAATTTTATATCATTGGTTTTCATATTGTATTATGAGCACAACACTACAAAACTAATCATACTTTTAACAGTTGCCGGCAATAAAAGAAACGTGAAAACTTGAATGTTCTAAAGAATATTCGTTAAAATTATATATAAGGATTATTAATATTCATCAAGATAAACTGATAGTGTACCTTTCAAGCTTCGCCTTTCTGCTATTCATAATTTAGAAAACGTTTCCTGGAATTCTGTGTGTGCAATTTGGTCTGTTACGACGTATCGACGACATATCTTTTGCGACAAAATTAGCAAATATAACTCTTGTTTTATTTGTATACAAATTTTTTTTACAAAATCTAAAATCTTGCATGTTTCTTGTAATGTTTATTCTGGTTCCAATGTAAGTATTTTACTAACAATGCATAATACATGCATTTTAAATTTTTGCCTTTTGTTGTCAGTTTCCACAATGTTTCTAAGTAAATCTAATTGTCATCGGCTTTCTGTCATCTCATTGTAACAGCCAAATCTTTTTTGTGGTATAGACTACCAAACATGAAACGGAGGTATCGAAACTATTTAATCTCGCTTTACCTTCGGCCTTACTTATTTTCGGAATACGATACCGGTTAAAGCGATGCATTGCGGTGTAAAATGATACGTTTAATATTGATATCTCGAGACGAATTATATTACGGAAATATTTATGAATTTGTGCAGAATTATACGCTCGAGTAAGTGGCAATATGCCTCAAATCTAGAGAGCGCTAATCGCCATAAAATGTTTGTATATTACACAATCTTTGCGATAATTTTGAATGACTTGAAAAATTTAATGTGGTTTAAATGTGGAATTGGATAAGATCGAAAAATGGATCAGATGAAATCCACTTTGGGCTCAATATCAGGTAATAATAATCGTCATGAAATTGAAATAAGAACAACATGGTAATCTTTACTAGTGCGTTGGGGTTTCAAATAGAGTTAAAATCAGTTTTCGAAAAAAAGATGAAAGGAAAAAAAGTACAAGCGCTGACTAATATATATTTTTATCTTTCCACGTTATTATGCGATACCACATTGTTACAGGTTAATTATTGGTATGTTTTCGGATGTGCCTGGACCACATTAAAATTCCCCCATGCCCGGAGATGGACATTGCTTTCACTTGCTTGTGCAAGGTTCTTGTATGTTACAAACACGCACCATGCTTAATTGATATTAAAAGTATATATGTCAGTCAACGAATATTTAATACTTGACATGTAAACCGCCAAATACAAAATCTTTACTGACGGCATCAAGCCTTCAAGTTACAGTTAGCTTCTTCTTGGCTAAGTTGTCGTTCCCTCCAATTAATAATTTAAGACCACCTGCCGCTTTTTGACATATCTGCAAAATTAGCAATCCTCAGCGGCCGCGCTGATGCCATATTACAGTATATAACTACTCTGAGCTAACACGCCGTAACTTAGTATAAATCTTCGAAATATAAGAGTGGATATAACAACAATGGACCATCGTAAACATATTTTTCACCTTAGAAAAGAAACTTGGGCCCTATTTGGCGAAGTAAAGGATTTTACGCCAATATTGACAAGCACCCCTCGGGAAAGGAGTTTCAACGCTAATCGGTCGATTGAGGTTGACTGACGGGGGTGACTTTTTAAGATATTTTGACCTGCAATAAAAATTTGCAACGATTATTTGAATCAGTTTTACTCAACTCGGGCGATAGAATGAATTTTGATATAGCTGTTGACGTTCCAGACGCGCATAATGTCCACAGCAAAGTTTATCGCCTTTTACGAAAAATAGTGAAGTTTTATCATCAATTACAGTGAATCTTTCACCCTATGTCAATACACCGCTCCTATGGCAACGAAATTGTTATATCCCATAAGCCCTATACAAGTAACTCATTACCATTTATTAACATATTTTAGATATTTCAGTGGAGTTTTCTAATCGATTTTTTGGGGGAAAATGTCAAAGTCAGTACTTTTCAGTGACTTGAAATTAATAAAATATCCTTTATTTTCGGTACGATCCGTATTCCCTACTTGAAGTTTTGAGTAGACGTAGTATTTCTCAAAATCGGCAAGTGTGTACGAGCGTTATCGCAAGCTACCGTGACATTTTGACGATTATATTGACAGGGACAGGTGTATTTGAACGCCATTGAGATTTATACCTCTAATAGGTACTTCTTTGTGATTCGCGTAGCACGGTAGGGAAACCACAGATTTACAAACAGTAACGTAAAGTGTTCGGTACGGTATTTGAAGATCCGAAAGGTTTTGTCTTGCTTTTTCGTTACCGCAGACAAACAACATTCCACACTTTTTGATCAAACTTTCAATACTCCTTATGATTTGAAAGTTAGTCACACTATATATGCAAAACCAACCAATTTCGGTTTGACGTGAGGTTTCGTGTGGGCGGACAAAGGTACAATAGGTTGCAGAAATCGCGAAGAGCATGTACGCATACACACTGAAAAAGGGAAGAGCTGTAGTTTATGACCTAGCCTGCGTTTGCAATGTATACCACGTAAAATCGACGATTATACGATATCCTATTTTATTCACTACGAAGGCATGTTCTGTACCCTCATTCCAAATACCTTCTGTAATTATTCCCTTTGTTGAATCTTGCATTCCTGTCATTCAGTTCATTTTATTTCCGGCTTTCAGTAATTTTATGCGGTGAATAAAAGACGCTGATTTTGCAAAGTGATCATTTTCTGCCATTAATTTTATTTTGAATGAACGCGAAGTAACTTTAGCAGGAATGCTTGGAATATTCGTGTCTCAGTTATTTCTGTTAAAATTAAAATAATTGCTAACATTGGCCATTATTGACAAAAAACTAGTTAAGAAATGATGCCTGGGTTATACTTCTGATCTCGTAATTATTTTTGACCTAAAATGGTCTTGATCTATTTAGAATCAAATCTTTTATATATATATGTCTACCATATATTGTGACTCAGATTGTTCCAAGTTCTTTCGACTGACATCTCACAAGGTTCGACATATATATTTCTCTCAGCGGGGGTTTGGTAAACTTGCAAAAACTATCGAATTTTGTTAATTTTTTTTCCTGGACAGTCAAAAGTCTGTTTAAAGATATTTTTTTAATATGAAATTAGTTTTATTACCATGACACGTAAAAATTTTACGGCGATTTGCGAACAAAAATTGTGGACCATAATATGTGTTGAAGAACTTCCGTTACGAAATATCTGATGTTTTGAATGTAACAATACAGAAATTACTTCAAAAGCTTTCATTGGAAAATGAATTTTTGATGAAAAAATATGTATCGTACGAATGTATGTAAAATAAAGAATCGATATTTCGACAAATTATGATTACAAATGGCATCGTCCACTCATTAAAATCGATACCACCTTTGTGTTAAAAATACATGGCGTACGTTACATTATAATTTAAAAGGAATTTCTTCTATGTTTAATTTGCTCACAAGAACAATCCGTATATTCTACGATATATTCAAAATATTGGTTAATTTATCTGGAATTTTGAAGTAAGTTCCCTGTCTTTGATTGATTACGTTATGTAATTGTCAGGTGTAACGATAACAGGTCTAAGGGAAAGTAAATTTTCATTTCAATCAACATTTATTACGAATGGTTCTTAGTCATCTAATAGGTGTAAATAAATTTATTTTTGTTTTGATATTTTTTCATTAAATTATCACATTGCAAGGATGGCGCTACTTGGAAATACTGGCCATTGGCATTTAAAGTATTCTGTGAATGAACAGGCAGATCCCAGACGCCCCCATTTAATTGCCTAGCTTACAGAGTTAGTTGCTTTTTTAGGTTCTTCCACAAGCTATAATAAATGCTACATACTTATTACTAACGAATTCCAAAAAGATTATGAATCAAGATTAGTTTCTCCCCTTTTCTACTCGTTAATAATGATGCATGTGAGTTTTCATCATTCATATTGAAAGTCAAATGCAGGTCGTCTGCCTATTTTAACGGAACGTTAGTAAACGCGCCCTTAGAGTAAAGAAACATCAGTTAAGCTTAAATAAAATATCCAAAGATTGGAAGCGGAACGTAATTTCAATAATTTAGAAAATTATTAAAAAAGTCTTAGGTCTCTCTCTATCGTGGGTTTAACAATCAAAGTCGAGATCCATATAGTCGGCTACTCGGCTCCAATACGAACATACCAAACTTTTCTTAGTTTGGCGCGGATGCGTTACGCACTATTGAATCGTACATTTTAAACAAATGTAGATCTTCTTACGAAATTTTCATCAAAAATATCATTAATTAGTGCTCTCAAATCACTATGAAAAGGGTGCATAAAATAGGAATTCTTTTTAAAGTGGTAATTCCGTCATATTTCCTACAGTTTACGTCATTTACGTACTTTTCACAGATGGTTATCAGGACACGCATTGGCATTAAAAAAAGATTGCGTAATGACAAGTGGGACTCGAAAACTGAACATCTGGTTACCTTGAATGCTGTGACAATGAGGAAATTAAATTGTATTTAACACCACTGAATAATAAATATGACACATACGTTTGTGCGTGACTGATGGTAACATAACCTTCCAGTAAAAAATATTGTAAACTGTAGTTTAATAACAATACAATCTAACGAAACGCACATTTACAAGGAATTTGCGTCTAACTTTATTTGATAAGTTGTTATGATTGATAAGTTACAGGAACTTTTCAGAAGGTACAAAAGCAAAATTTAGGGATTTCGTCAAGCAGAGCATTTACAAATGATGAGAATTTGTGTCAAAATTCAATCATAAAAAAGATTTAGTGTTCTCAAATACCGATCCACATTTAAAATATTCTTAACGCCATTTCAATACCAATTCTGAGTTTGGGCTTTCAAAAACTTCAATTCAAATTAGCAATCTATTCAATTACATTGCAGCAAAATCCCATCAATATATTACTTGTTATTACTTGTGGCATTACTCAGTACCATATTGGATTCAAATATCAATCATTTTGAAATGAGTGTCATAAAAACACATTTTATAATGTGACTCATGTGCAAAATATTCTATTATTTTTAGCTAAAAACAAGTCGCTATGCGTACTACAGCTCAACTGGGATTATGGAAAGCTTACCCTACTGTATTTAGTCTAGAAAAGGTTGTGCAAGATACATTCATATGTAGATAGAACGCTATAAAACTAAAATCAATAACGCATTTAGGTAACTATAGTAAATTCAACTTCTATCAGGATCACGTTAACCTAGATTTTAGAACGCAACAATTCTAACAAAAGAAGTTGGTATTTTACGCGGTCGACATCGTTCAATTTCCTTGCAAATTATACTTGCTGTTATTTATCATTCCATATTATAAAAGTTCAAAATCGAAATTCGCAAGTTCTTTTCAATTTTGAATTTTTTGAAGACGAAACAGAAAAATAAATCGAAATCCGGCACCATTTTTGCGACGCAAATTTGAGGAACCTACAAGCTTAAACAAAATTATCGCGTCATGAAAACCAATGCTCCACGATTCGATGAAATTTTCATGAGCAGCATCAATAATTCAAGGTATTGTGGCTCAGTATAATTCCTGTGATTTTCGATTTTAGTCGTTAACCTACCATTACCCCCACTTCAAATATACATATTTAGAGTGTTGGATGATTTTGCAAAGTTGGAATAGTTGAGGTCCCATAATCGCACCTTGTGGTATACCAATTTTGCGTTTCGAGATTGCTTTCTCCAATATTTTTGAAGATATTTCGTCAACGCTGTTTCTTGATCGCTTGTCCTGCTCTTGGTTTTAATATATAATATCAGATGAAAGTAAATCATGTCATAATTTCCATTGTGTTATAGCTACAGTCTTGTTTGTGCAACATTTCCACGATAAAATATGGTTTATAATACGTTCAAAAAATTATTTGCATATATTTATTCTATCGTCGTTTATTTAATAAGATTGATGTCGACTCTAATTTTATACGAAATTCCCTTTATTTTTCTCTCATATGATTTATGACTGATATTAATGCAATTTATGACTCATCGACCATCAAAAAACACACGAAATAAGAACAAAAGCATATTTTCTCCACTACTTCAAATATTTGACGAGAAATGAATTTTGAATAGCTAAGGCTAAATCGGTTCATCAATCAGGGAGATTTTTTTGGATTGTAATTTAGATAATTGGCCAAATTTTCGGTTTGTAATCCGAGCCTTGCTCATTGATACGCGTTTATAGGTCCATTCAGATAATACGAAGGTTAAAATGTCAAGAAATTATATAGCATTACGTAATGCGGTGTTATATTTTTCACGGTTTCAATAAAAAATTCAACAAAATAGTCAAACACTCATTCTATGCCTGTTTGTATGAACAGTTTCATTTTATTTTTGTCCATATTATTTACTCACGGTAAATAACAAAAAATAATTATCTAATATTGGAAATTTACGTGATAAAATTACTGTAAACAAAATCGATATAATTTACTTAGATTTTGTAATGCATCAAATTCAGATCAGATAAAATTTACTCTCTCCATAATTTAATGGTTTACATTAATTACTGCAAAATTCGAAACAATATATTCATTTTTTGAATTTATACCTCTTACACAGTGATAGTATTGTTTGTTTATTACAGATGAAAATACTATAAAATATTATGAAATAGATTTCGACATCTGTAAATATATTGAAGTGTTTGTCTATAGAATTTAAATATAATTTTATTGTATTTAGTATTTCAGTAGGACGGAAATATACGAAATTTGTGATTAAAAAGTTGCATTCGGCATGTTGCATTTTGGTATTTAAACCGGGTGGTGGTACTATAAAATCTAAATATAATTTTATTGTATTTGGTAATTTCTTTAGGACGAAAATAAACAAATTTTGTGATTAAAAGACTGAACTCTGCATATTGCATTTTGGTATTTTACCGGGCATTGGTAGGGACCACATCCCTATAAGTTTTTTTTAGACGAAATAACTATGTTGGAGATCTAAGAGAGTATTTCCTGTAGTGGTTATTAACCTATTTAGGCGTTTACCAACCACCAAATTCACGTTCTCGTTTTTGCCAACTATGCCGAGAGATATACATCAGAGCCATTCTATTCTTCCATACACCCATACCTACAAGGTGGGGTTTTTCAAATATACTCCATCTTTAAAGCTTGTATGAAATTTTTATTTTGCTAATTTAATAGTGATTTATTTCATTTTTTGATTATTCCAGGAGTTCAAAGCCGAGTCAAATCTGGTATTCGATCGTATCAACATGGTTAGAGTTCTGGTCACGTGGATAGTGTTCCTGATGTCAACAATCGGAAATTCATTTGTGCTTACAAGCGTAACAATAAAGCGACGAAGAAGAAACATTTCTCATCCTCAGTTAATGATGATGCATCTGACTTTTGCTAACTTGGCGTTCACATTCTTTATTCTTCCAGTAGGTTAGTAGAGCTATTTTTACATTTGTGTGGTATAGTGCAAGGTACACACCGTATGTTCAAAGCATTTCGTTTGAAACGGATTTTGAAATTTGTCACCGCTGATGGGGATGACTCTATCTGGGGTGATAACTGGAAAAGATGACGCAGTCTGTTTTGTGATGATTTAGCACTAGGGTTGGGCATTTTTGAATACCTGATGAATTCAGTACGGAATCGAATATTTTTTTCGAGTCGAATCTCAGATACTTGGGAGAAATTTATTGTTTTTTTTATGGGGATGGGTCCTCTCAACATATGAATTACTGAAAACATAGAATTCATCACGTCGACAATTTTGCTGATCGTTAACACACAATAAAAACAGCTTTTACTATAAACTCGCTAGGAAGAAAACATTCATATGTCAGAATTTTATTGAAAAAATATGGCTCCAATAAAAAAATTGGGGAATTCATCTCGATCTTTTTGGGGACAGAGAATAAAACAAGATGGCGGAGATTCCAAATTTTTGTCTGAACCTATTCGAATAATTCACTATTCGATTCGATACTGATATTCTATCCGAAATGCCCAGCCCTGGTCATCGCCGAATGCGATTTTCTTTTTCATCTTGAAGATTAGATGCAAATTCCCGAGCACCAATTGGCGACTACCGAACCAGTTCAGTTGAATTTGAAAATGAGATTTTAATTACTTCAATTTGTAAAGCAACTATATAGTAAAATATTTATTGGTTAACATTTAAGGTGTTTTTTAAATATACCAGGCAATCGTCGAAAATATACAGAATTGCAAATCATCAAATGAAATATCAATGAACTGAGCCGAATTAGCAATTTCGCAAAAAAAAAAAAACGATGTTTGCGATGAGGCATGGACTAAAAAAATGGCGTAAAAGGGTGTACTGACCATCTGACACCAAAACCTATATTTCATGACTTCTTATTGTGGGGTCTGCTTTATAATAGTCTTTACAGATAGTGATGATGAATTGATATCGTTACGTTATTTGTAATTGTAATTCAGAATCTTTTTCGGAATTTTCAGACCACAAATATAGATTTATCCATATTGTTCATTCTCGTTAATTACTCCAATAAATGAAATAAACAATCGTGAGCAAAAACAAATGTAAGGGTTATGCATATTGATGAACATTTGATCGAAGCAGTTTAAAGCGGGATTTTGGATTTTGGAAAACAAATGTCTCATGCTTCATTTATCTGAATTGTTATTGACTAACTAGTTTCTATTCAAATTCGATTGGGAACCCCATTATATAACTTCATTTACTTGGGCACAGGCCAGGTAAACAGCCGCCAGCTTGTCAATTTTATTGAGAGCCGAGAACGAGAACTATCGCTCGTGTGTCTCTTGGCAAACACTTATGATAATTTAATTTTTGTCTCCTCCCAAGAGAAAATATGTCCAATTTGACAAAATAAAGACAACTTGTTTACTGATGCTTTCAAAGACCGACATTTCCAAATGACGTAGGTAATGCCAAGAGTAATCAGTTTGTAGCATTACACAATGTGCAATGGTCTCACCTCATACAACTGTTATTCTAATAATGCCTCTTGGTGATTTCTTGTACCATTTATATCCGTTGACTGGACTGAAAGTTACATAATTCCCCTCTAAAGTCCGAACTTGGGATTGATATATTCCTTTTTAATAATCAATGACACTACGAAGCTAGTTTACAGTTTCAAACAAAATTTTTCTGCATATTCTTAGCGATAATTTTCCATTCATTGAAAGGCTGACCACTGGTAAAATATATATGGATATTTAATACCAAAATTGCAATGGTAAAAATATCAATAAAATCATTATTAAATTATGCAACGATGCTGATTTAAAAACTTTTAAATTTTTGCTTCGATACTGTGAAATCAAAAATATTTTTTTTCGTAAATTTGCCTAGAAAAAATATGTCTCCATAATATTATATTTGAAAGCATTTTGAAAAAAAAAAATTTAAAATTAATCTAGATATAGCAACATAGGTATGCGAGGGCTTTCATTCCTAATGACTCCAAATTTCTGTCTAGCCAACAAAGCCTTCTATTTGATAAACTACATTAACGCATGTTATTTTGTATTCAATTGATCCACAACAGGGCCGTATGTCATTGAGTGGCATTATCAAAATACATTAAATTTTAATTTGAAGATGACGAAAATGTTTACCACCTTGAAATAGACAGGGGATTTGAAATTAATGTGAAAAATAGCCTTCGGTTATTTGTTTGAACGCTTGGTATTTGCGTTGCTGTCAAAAATTTAAAACTTTTTGTTGAAGAAATATTGGTGTTATTTGATGAAAACGAAACCCAAAGCAATTCAGATCTTAATTTAAATCAATGATATGTTTAGGATTAGCACGTGTACCTATGTTAAAAATTATTACATTCAAACATTTACAAATATCCAGATTTGCGCGATATAATGTAATTCTTTAAATTTGCAAAAAAATAGGCACGGATTCATAGTATTCCTTTCTTTTCAAGACATCTTCCGCTGAAGATTCTATTATTAAATCACAGCCAGGCTTGCCAGAACGCAATCATGTATCGATTTCTTTTTCAGATGCGATATGGAACACCACCATGGAATGGTATGGAGGTGATTTTCTATGTCGGGCTGTCAATGTTCTTCGACAATTTGCAATGTACATTTCATCAGCTATGATAGTGGTAAGTCAGGCAACCACGATTGTGAAATGTATTAGCAGTATATATATATATGCATACCCGTTAAATAATGCGTCCAAGTGTTTATTATTTGTGATTTCAAGGTATAGGTTCCTACGCGCGAGGCGAATAATTTTATCTATTGTGACCGAACTTACTTTACTATGCGAAACTTCAAACCTAACTTATGCTACAATATACAATTCTGATAACTTGAAATATCTAAAGTATGTTTGTTGGTGGGCTTACAATGTAAAAACTACGTACAAAGCCACGCCCGACATTGGAACACTTATCTATATCGACTTCATCGGCGTTTCAACAGACATAATTAATTTAATTACAGTATTGCGCAATTAAGTCTCGAAATTCTACAAAGTTTATATTACGATATCATTTGTGTAGTACATAAGTTTCGTATACAATTTCATGTCGCACACGTCCGCTTCCACCAAGTCACGTAGCAGCGACTCGGAGCTCAAATTAATCCGATGCCGTAACCCACATTGATTGATAATGAAAGGGATTGAACCCGAAGTCTGACCGTAAGCTGTATTTTTGAGTGGATCTTTTGTAAAAAGCCCTGCAACTAATGCAAATAAGTGAGATTTGAAAAAACACCAGCGCCACGTTTTTGAGTACTGCAAATTGCGCTTCCTGCGTTTAAGTTATTGCTCGTTCAGCGCATTTTAGCAGTGGCGAGGGCTTTCTACGAAAGATCTATTTGAGTTTACTGCAGCGAACGTATTTAGCTTTGATCTACATATCTTTGAAATATAAAAGAAACCACCACCCAAACAATATCGCTACTTGGTATCGTAGACTAAGGAAAACATTATTAATGATGAAATGCTTTGATTTACAATTTGCAAGGATATCTGTTGCCAGCTGCAACGACCAGTTGAAACGGACAGGTCAGCCTTGGCGCCAAATACCAGATATGACCTTTCGGACAATACGTTATCACTATATGCACAAACACGTTAAAATAGATAGCATAAAGTAGTTATTGCAGGCACATAATATGGAATACCCTTGTTACCAACATTGCTTATATATAAATCGTGCGTAAATTTTCGAAACAAGCTGGACTGATCGGAACCCATTTCATTAATGTTGACATCCCGGTCCGATTGACGACGAGATAGATCATATTTTATATATTTATATTGCAATCTGATATATCTCCAATTACTGTATTGTTCGTTTCCCAAGGGATATTATCGGCTATTAAATAATTTTTGAACAAAAGTCTTTTGAACGCGATATGTTATGGGTGCCATGGCCTATAGCGGTGAAAGTATTAGTCTTCAAATCCCACGCCACAATCTCACCCGGGATGTAAAAACCAGTTCAATGGCGATATCCACTTGTACACAAGTAACTACCGATTCTAGGATCCCTCTGGGTGCGGTGTTGGGCATGGGTCTTGAATGCGAGATGTTTTATCAACGACGGCAACTTAGTTATAAGTGTTTTTATGTACTTTTATTTGAATTATCAATGGTACGTTCGCCAGCAACCGTGGTCTCCCCCGCGCTTGGGGTGGCAAACGGTATTTATAAAATAAATGTAAATATGATTTTTACCTGAAAAGTAAATCGAATTGAACATGAAAAAGTATAACACGTCAATATAAAGAAAATGTAAGGCTTTTCCAACTGAGCCAGCCCCTCAAAGAAATATAAGAAATAAATAGATAATTATTCTGTAAGGGGTACATTGTCTGGCGTATGATACATTTTAAGATAACTAAAAGACGCGTCAACGGCAGACACGGACAATTGACGGAGAAAATAATATGCATAAATAACAAATATAAATTGTTTCGAGGGGCTGGCAAACTCGGCGATGGGTTCTCAGTTCTCACTACACTCTAACGCTCACACTGTAATCACCTCGTCCACGGTTGCTTGCATGAGTTTGTATTTAATCTAGTTAAGTATTTAGAAATCAATAGCGTGTATCGGTAAATGTTACTGTAATTGGTCCTATTCGACTTCCATTCTGCCCTACCACTGGGAGTTATGTCCCCAGTTCTTGCGTATTTTTCATCTTTCAATATTTCCAGGTGATGGGAATAGACCGAGTAACTTGTTTGAAGTGTCCGAGGGCATTGGCTGGTCAGAGGCAGCGGATAACAAGGATGTTGGCTATTGCTTGGATCTTTAGTTTTCTGAATGCAATTCCAGCGGTGAGATTTTTTGTTTAAATTGGAGTTCGAAAAAAAAATTATTTTTCAAATTGTTCAGATATATCGATAGCGCGGTGAACATAAAACTCTTAGCTTTGCCAGTCAAATAACATAATGATTATAATGACTGCTCAATGAATAGTATATGCCCTGTATTTTTGCATGCATTCTCCATAGTATAATATTGGTAATAGGGTACTCCCGTAGTATGTGAACCAAGATGGCGGACACCGAAACGTAGTATGTGTACCAGGTTAGGGTTAGGCCATAATTTGGGTACGAATACTACGGGAGTCACTCGGCTAGTCCCCTAACTCGTAAAATAAAATACCTCGAACTAAAATAAAGAAAATTGGAATAAAATTAGTCGGCCTAACCCTAACCTGGTACACATACTACGTTCCGGTGTCCGCCATCTTGGTTCGCATACTACAGTACCGTTAATAGGACACGAAATGTACACACTTATTATTATGTTGTTGATCTTGTTAATCCCTCTTTTCTACCTGTTGTTATGAAAAATCACTTTTCTTTATAATTACTGAACCAATCTGATTTTCAGTGGTAAAAGATTGTTGTTGTCGCCAGAGGCGATTACTTTTATTTATTTTAAAAATTTCTGTGGGTTGTATGAGATTCGTTTTTTGTGTACCATGACGTCATTTGATTAAAAATTGCGTACTTTGTGGCGGTTCCGCGTACTATCTGGTGGTCAGGGGAAGCCGTGCAGACTGCGGTACCGGTAGTCTACTGTGAGTCTGTGGCAGATGCATACCCGTTTTACTTCGTTTTAACCTTCGTTTCCATATATTTGAGCATCGCTCTCTTGTATATTTATGGGTATATTTATGTACTTGTTGTGCTTAAACGAAATCCAGTATTTTTAGTAAGCACTTGCAATTCCTTTCTCCACAAAATATATGGATATAGAATATTGAAACGGTGTTTCTATGGCTGAACCATTGTTTTATCAAATGTCTACACGTCCTTATGTGGATCGTTTCCTGTATGTGCATTTTCCCGATAATATTTCATAATGTTGCAAACTAGACTTAAAAAATGCAATAGGCCTTTCAAGTCTTATAAGTCGGATGCGATGATCTATCGATTACCGCATTGGACTTGGCAATGTTGTCATCGTATATTAAAATTCTTCTGTTGAAACACGAATATTTAATAAGTTGGGGAGGCCATAAACATCCCGGTTCTTCCCGCCACCAAATTTATCTATTCGAGTATTCGAAGGATAGGGCCACGATTGAAAAATAATAGTTTCATAAAAGAATCCCAACTAATGCAGACTCTGATTTCGCGACAATGGTTCTACATCTCCGATACATAGAAAAACTTTTGAGAATCAGTCGAGCTATTAAGTTTTTGGAATTATCTGAAAAAAAATGTGAAAATACTTTGAGTTCTTGTTTGAAACAGATACCTTAACTGCTCGATGACCAGTTTTGGCTTCGTGGCTTTCGTGGCTTCCCTTTGCAGTAAAACTGTGTGATTATCTCTTCTTTTCTTTTCGATATTGTATAATGTATATGATTGTTTTTTTACTGGTTGGAAAAATAAACTTGACTTGACTTGTTTTCACAGCTTATTTTTTGGGAAAAACATCTAAAATTACCATATAAATTCGGAGAGTCAGAATTTTTAATCATAAAACTGATGTTCTCTTGTTATTTTCATCTTCACTGTTGATAAAACAGCAGACGAGTTTGGATTAATTTTTTGTAATTTAATAAATATGAATCACCGAATTATTTTTATATTAAAAGCTTCAAACCTCCGTAATCTTAGGGTGACCAAAAGTTGTTTTTGAGTGATCCGCTTTCTCCAGGGATTCCAGTTTTTTTATGTGTTCATTAAGCAAACATTTTTGACTACCAGAAAATCCTATTTCCAACTGTATTATGATTAAACTTGACGCTGTTTTTGAGCTGACTTTTGGTAAATATTATCCTAAAAATAGAAGCTTACGCGCTAAAGGTTGCAGACAACCGTCAAATCTCTATTGATTTTTTGTTATTAAGCATGGTCTTCCAAATACCGACAAGGCTTAATGATCAGGATTTTTTGGCTTTTAAATGACATTTTTCAATATTGAAACAAAGTTTAAAACATTACATGCAATGTTATGGTAGGATAATTGTGGTAATTGTATACTTACATTATTTGCAACCCTATTTTTATATAACTGGGAAATAAATAGCTGACGATGGTATTTGATAAATCGCGCCTGGAATTTCACTACACTTTTATTTGTAAATAGTATGGGTATCTATGTAGTAAATTATGCACTTTCGCAGCAAAATGGAGAATTTTTTAGATTTTTCACATAAAAAAATAGCAAAAGTTTCAAATATTACAAAAAAAAGTAGCTTCCATTACAAATATTTGTCAAATTACAATTTGAACCTTTGAAAAAAATCTTTGAACACCCCTATCGATTAGTACATGTGAGCGAACTTGAAGTTAAGGCCTTTTTTTTTTCTTTCAGAAATTTTAATTCGATTTCACGTGCTACATTTGGGTTTTTACTGAGCATATATAGCAGTTCTAATATACCAGATAGCATTACCCTGTATATCGACCAATCCTAGTGAATCGTTGCGCAACTATTTCGACTATCTATTTAAAATGACTTGGTTAGAAATATTGGCATTCCAAGTTCACCAAATATATTCTATAACGTTTCGTCTAGCGTAGTGGTTCTCAATCTTTTTGCTTTCGTTGCTTTAAAATGCTGTGGCTCTAAACGTTTTTAATGCAAGGGAAAACTACAAGAAGACAAAAACTTCTTCTCGCAATATTGGACAATAATTTTTTAATAACTCTAGCGATTTTTATTAGGTCTGTGACCGAGCTGAAAATGTTTCTGTGACCCAAATATGGGCCATGAACACACAAATACAGAAAAAAACTAACAATAATTATATACTCGTTATTCCAATTAACACAATTAAATGTTTTTGTATTTTTCTTGATATTCAGGGCGCCATATTTTCTGCAGTGGAGCACACACCATATCCTCGCTGTCCCGAGTCAAAAATAACTCAGTGTCTGGATTTGAATGTGTTGGGACGAGCTAATTTAGAAGCATACTACGTTTACACCATGTTCATATCTTTTTTTGGTCCCCTCATCTGCATCCTGATATGTTATATCATAATAGCTTGGGAAATATCAAAAATGGCTCGAATTTCAAAAGGTAGGTGGAACGACTATACATATATACTTAGATAATAAAAAAAAGACATATCAGATTCTCACGTATTGGACACGAAATGGACATTCAGATCTTTTTGTTATAATGTTGTTGTTGTTCTTGTTCAACAGAATCAAGTGCTTTGAAATTTTCAGTGGTTAAAGATTGTATTTACTTTTATTCATTTATAAAAAATTTCTGTGGGATCTGAGGGTTTCGTTTTTGTATGTAATGACGTTATCAAAATTTAAAAACAATTGCGCACCTTGTGGCGGTTCCGCGTGGTCAGGCGATATCGGTAGTCTACTGTGACAGACTGCATACCCGTACTACTCCGTTTTGGTCTATGTGTCCACTGTCCATATATTTTGAGCAGTCCTCTCCTGTTTTCTATGTAAATTGTAATAGTAATGGATTCAGTCCTAATTGTACCTGAATTGTTGCCATCAAGAAGCAAATTTGGGTGGTCGATTTAACGCTGCCTACAGCAGTTCGTTTGGATAAATCGATTTTATTATCGCTTGGAAGCCACCAGCCCAGCGGTTCACGCCCAAGATTCTGTTTCTATTAAGACCTCCCGGGTGTTTATATTAAAAACCTACATGTAGAGCTAACGCGAATTTTACTTCTGGATAAAAATATATAGTCAACGAGAAGTTATTTAGTTCATGTCTGGGATCTCAGCCATTGGGGGTAAATTTAACAAGCATGAAAGTACATGATCAAATGTGGCTGTCGACCACATAGCAAATTGCAACATTGTTCAATTGTAACATCCTTTGTTCCGAGTTCGCGTTCTTGCGATCTGCCGTTCAGTTGAAGTCGTACCGGTACTTACCTTACATACTTGTACTACTTCGTTTTGGCTTTCGTGTCTATATATTTAAGCATTGCTTTCTTGTCTACAGAAGCACAGAAAAGGTGTTCAATAAAGCGAGGAAGCAATAAAAGCGTAACCAGAAGAGGACTTGATCGAGCTCGCAGAGTATCACAGATAGTTACTGGACTGATAACAGTAACATTTGTTTTATGTTGGGGTCCTTACTACGTGGTGGGATTTATCAATTGGTTCGATAAGACGAATCATACGGGACCACAACCTCCGGAAAAGAGATTATCTTATTCAGTAAGTGTATTTTCTTTTATATGATAAACATAATGACATTGTACTGTTCAATTACAAAATTGAGGGCGCCGGGCGCCAAGGTACAGGGGCGCCAAAATGAAGCTTGCAAAAATTTCACAACAAGGGTAAAAAAACAGTCACAAGCAAGATAGCACAGTTCTTTTAATTCTCTGTGAGTAGAATTTAGATACATATGAAGGTTAGAATTCTCTCACATAAACTAGAATCAAGTTTTGGTTTTTGTAGTTTTTACCGGAGCTTTTATTTCGCTTGCCTACTGGCAATAACAATAAAGTTGAAGAAACGAAAATATGATAATTAAGATGTAATAACTGCACATAAGACAAAATATGTACGAAAATTGTGTTTAGATTTTCACTCTTATAGTTGAGAAAAGACATTTTATTTTAATTATCTCTAGCCAACCCGCGAAGATTGATGCACACATATCCGTGCAGAGTGTCTTTTGTTTTGGTGTTAAATGATTTATCCCAGTGATGTATTATTTTATAGCCGCCCATGGTCGACTTCTTGCTATAATCATGACAAATTAATTCAAATTGAATCCCGTCTGTGGTATAGGAAGTGGAAACGTTGATTCATTTGTATTTATAACCAATCTTACACTTTAAAATAAAAACGAAAAATGTGCTGTAAATATGCCGTCGTTATGATCATAAAAGCAGCATAAATGATATATAAATTATTATGTTGGCCTTGCGGTAATGAATTGCTATATGGCGTCACATAGGTAATTATATTACGTATAGTGATAGGTGGAATATTAAATTCGGAGGAAATCACAATTTGAAAAGGAGAAAAATATTTATCTAAGAAATAATTTATTGGCATTAGTCCCTCTCCCCGTTGAGAAATATTTTTTCATGTCTATATATAGTTCGTATTCGCAAAAAAATATTCGATAATAATAATCAATACGAGTCACTGTATATTAAATAAATTTGTTTAATTAAAGAGCTGGCCTTCAATAAGAAACGTATTTTGATTATATTGGTTAAAATATTTTTTCACATAACAAGTCCCATAATTAGGATAATTAGTGATTCATTTGACTGTGACATACATGATTTGACACAAAATTCTTTCGACCTCAAGGGGATTGTAATGTGTCGAAATTTTCCCAAACAGCATTGTTTATAGTTTAGGCCTGAATTTTTGGCCTTGTGTGGGTCGGATTCAAGTTTGTGTTCAGATTAACATTTTAAAAATCGTTTTAAGAGAGAGAGATTTATTATTTCGTCAACCAAAAAATACCGGTGTCAAAAAATACAGAATATGTCACAACGTGTGCAGTAATAATTAATTAAATACGACTCATTGACATATATAACTTCCTCCACATCGCCATTTTTGCCAATAATAAAAATAAAAAAGTCATCTTTATGTCGATTTATTTTATTGAGTACGTTAATTTAGATTCTCAGCCAAGTTGAATTCTTCGAAAAAGAATATTTTCATATGTAATTCACAACTATGAGCCACTATGTATAAATATGTAATTTTTGCATATTCCTTGTTCGTGATTTAAATGTATTGCCACTTGCGTTTGGACCTTAGGAATGCCAATGCATTTGTGGTATGCTTTTGTATGTCAGATATACAACGACGTCCCATTCATCTTATAGAAATTTCAAGAGAAAGTTGCCTTCAATTACCGCCTCCGTGAAATTCATTTTTCCTTTCTACGGGACAAAATCTAATAGATATCGAGCGGAAGACAGGTCGGAACTTGTGTTTTTCTATTTGACATTGTCTAATTTGGAAAACAAAAGTTGAAACTTTAAATTATCAAACATGACAACACGTTGAAAAAAGTTTTCAATTTATTTTTATCTCGCGTAACCTAGGTTGACGCTCAGTACCTTTTAGCGCAAGATCTTCAGTAAACGCTAACAATTTCGATTTAATATATTACTAAACAACGAAAGTTATATTATCGTTACAACTTTTTCTACACTCTTCTATCTATGTTATACATTTATCTCTTTCATAAGTTTAATTTCCTCGCGCAGCAGTTTAATTTCGAAATAAGCTTGAAAGAAGCCAAACAAAATTAATCTCTCAAGTGGTTTATTGGGAAACGTAGCTGTATAATCAGCATGTTAACACTTGAAATTAATATGGACCAGTTACAGTGCTACAGTAAGTTTGCGTGTATGTTTTTTTAGACAAAGATTTATTTGTTACGGGTGAGGTCTCAATCGGAACCTCAATTCTCATCAAAGATTTGCTTCGTCTGAAAAGGCTATATAAAATTTGTCATATTATCAACTCGATAGTTGAAAACATATGGAAAATCATAGTATACGGGCAAACAAAAAAACGATTGTTCATAAAACGATTGTAAATTAGCTATAGATTAACATTTAACATACCCTATATGTGTCCTTGAGGAAATGTCTTACCAAAACTGACAAGAACGCGCTTTTCAATTATTGGACGCGAAGTGTACATATGGATCGTTTCGTTATTATGTTATTCTTGTTCTTTTTCATATTGTCGGTCTACTGAAACATACGCAATAATGGGGAAAGACAACTTACAATACAGACTCAAATTCTAAAATCCGTACTGAATCTAATACGAATTTTCGTCAATATTCTTTTTATTTTCAAAGTTTGACTCGTGTTTTTGTTATTTTCCTAAACACAGCTTTTCTCTTCAGTTTGTTGTTCAGACAAAAATAAACCCATCTGTGTCATTTCTATTTTAAAATATACATTTAGCTATTGTTAAAAACAATGGTGACATATGTTCGAGTGTATGCACATTTACATATATTGAAGAAGTACATGTGAAGCGCGGCCAATCAAAAATCAGCTGATTAAATTTGTCTGAAAATATCAAGGGGCAGTCTGAAAATATCGGGCTAGAATTGTTTCATTTTCATAATGAAATATTCATAGTAATTGGACGTCGAAAAGTTTGCTCGCGAGAGAAAAATGTCAGCGTGTATTTAAGATCACGTTAAGTGTCGATTAGAGCAGTGTTTCGTAACCTTTTCAGTTTTACGAATCCTTAAACTATCAAATTTCGTACATCTTGCGACCCATTATTTGTCCCTTTAATTGACGTATGATGTAAAATAAATAAGTGAAATAAGTCGTGGTACGCGAGATAACAACAAAACCTGCATTCGCAACCAGTAATTGGAGGCTTTCATCTTAAATGGGCATGAATGGTAAGATTGAAAATGCTTGGAATAAATCCATTTGAGTTCTATCATAAACCTCAAAAACCTTCTTAAAACCTTCACTTGTTGAGACTTACTGGTTTGAAGAAAGCAAATTTCTAAAACAGATAAAATAACAAGGAAGTGTATGATTCGCTTGTTTTGCAATGTTGAACATCACATGTTTCACATACGGAATGTGTATAGTAAGTGATGAACTGTCTAAACTCTAAACCCATTTTATGAAATAATTCGTTTCATTAGTATAAAAAAACAGACGGTCGTTAAAAATAACACAAGTATACCAAATTTTCGATCATAGTAAATTTATCGTCCTCACAAGTTTGAAATATATTTTTGTGTATTTTCATAAATGAAAAACCGCACAAATGTGTAGCATATGGAAAGGATTTTGGTACAAAAACCCGATTAATTTGGTGGCGGAATATTACTTATAGTTTTACTTATAAATATAAGCCACTGATAAAACTAACATATTCTATTACAATGCAGCTTAAAAATTGATTAATACGCCGATACATAGGTATATTATAGCGACATGAGTTTACATTTCATATTGTTAATGGGTTGAGGACGTCTGAGTCATCTGCATAAACATGTGGCCAGTTCATACGTTATTCATGGAATAAATAAATACTCTCTTTCAACTTGTTTGAACTAAGTAGATGTGTGGTTTGAATTTAAAAGTGTTATAACTTAGTTAAAACTATTAAAAGACACAACTGGTTCATGATGATATTGAAAAACGTCCAGTAAATAACTGCTATAAAATAAAACAGTCGCCTATTTACTTAATGTAATATAATTTTTTTTTTCTCGACGCCTATTTGGCGCTGAAAATCAAAGCTAACTCAATTATTCCAATACGGTTCTTTATCTGCTCTTTGGAACTCCAATGAGATCACCTTTTGAAATATTCAAGTTTCTTGAGACACAAATATAGAAGAACTCCTGTGTGCTAAAACTGCAAGATATATTATCCCTTTACTATTGTTGATTACCTTATATGAATTTAACTCATGTCTTGTTTATTAATGCCGTTCTATTTTACCAGGCGCAAGTTGTGATGCTGATGTCAATGTATTTAAATCCTATGTTACATCCAGTAATAACTGTTCTTTTGATGAAAGAAGTTCGCGACAATGTTTTAACACAGTGCCGAAAACCTAGTGGCTCACGGTGAGATTTATTTTGTTTCGGTTGTGATAAACAAGTGGCTTTGAGCTATTTCAAGGTACATCAGTTAGTTAGACTGCTTTTTATTTTCTTCCCCGTAATGTAGTAAATTTGCAATCGACTTCGACACCCCGGATCCGGGTTAGGAAAAATTTTGACCTCTTTTCCCCAAATCTGGGTCGGAAAAATTGTCGACTCCGACTCAGCTCCGAAATCAAAGGAAATAAAATTTCGATATCAAAAACATTGGCGTATGCAAGCCTCTTATATTAGACAGGTTGGAACACTTTTCGGGTTTCTGAGGAAAATTTTGACTTTATTTATCGCCATTGAAAGTATGAAACTCCGACTCCGGTGAATTCAAAATTTTGACTCCGGACAGAATGAAAATTCGAATCCTGCTTCGACTCTATTGATTTCGACTCTATGTCAAAGTTATACTTCCGGCTCCACCGCCCTGGTTGTAAATAAAGATTATAAGGTTATTTCAAGTAAATGTTAAAATGTTAAAAAGATAAATCTTTTTTCTTGTTTTAATTTTTGAAAAGCGATATATCAATGTTTTATAATTCTTTCAGGACTAAGGTTTGTTGATTGGCAGTTTTCTCACTTTCTTTTTAACTATAATTATTATTTTTTAGGCGAAAACCAACAAGCAACAGGAAACCTGTGGGTGCGATGGTAAATTTAGAAAAGAATGGTAATATGGAACTTATTCCGAAAAACAATGGGAACGGTAGTAATAGACCGCCGAGACATTGGGTATAACAAAAAAAAAGTAAAACAAACTTGTGAAAATTTCGCGAAGTTTCGCGTTAAATTTGCACCATTTTCTTTACCAGTTGTCTGCCTTCAAGAGCTTCCATTGACCTTACCAGTCATATAATGCATTTGTTTTAATAAAAGAAACTGATAAAAACGCAATTTAATTTTGCAGTATTTATATTTATTTACATATTAGTGGCACTATCACAACGCAGTAGAATTACCAAGACACGCATAACTGTAACAAACCACACATACCAACTTTTTAGTTTCCCCTGTTTTCTATCGATTTTTTTTTCAAACCAAGTCCAGATGTAGCCCTGTAAAACGAAGTATTACTAACTTTTTTTTCATTTTTAAAAATTGTCAATTTGGTCAATTTTCAAAAAATTTATCTTTCGCTTCTTAAGAAACCATATATATATATAATGTAATGTTTCAGACTTTTTCCAACAGAACAAGATAACTTTAGTATATGGTAAAGATTTTATGTTTTTGAAGGGCTAGAACTTTAGAGTTCAGCACATATGAACTACCAATTTATTGCAATAGAGTTGTGATGGGTATTGGTTTCAAACCCAGATCTTTGGTATGCGACGCAAACTTAGTTGGGCTACCAGGCTAGCTATTAGGCTGTCTTGCCCTTTCGACGGCCGGTCTGATTTACCCTCATTTCGTGTTAATACAGGATATGCTGGCAATTTTACACAATTTTTGATAACTTACATTGCACCATTTTTTGGCCATTTTAATCCGCCTTCCATTATTTAGTTTTGCGCGAAAATATCTTTCTTATGATAATTTTCTTATTGCTCACAAAAACATGACAATAGTTGTTTCTGTTTTTATTTTGTAACTTATGTTTCTGCTGAGTTTCTCTTTTTATGGCGTATATATAATTTTTTCAATTCGTTTTTTGTTTATGTTGCCTATACCTTTGTGACTAGGAAGTATATACATACCTTAATTAGGGGGTATAAATCGTGAATATGTTCAAGGTAAAAGCGTTTCATTTTGGCTGAATCTGAAACGTATTTTGTACTGATCATTTTAGATATCACTATATGTGAACTTTGTATCATCTTATGCCGAGTAACGATTTTAAAGAAGTTTTAAACATGCTGGTATGATTATTCTATAACAGCCAATGGGATTATTTTAGTTCTAACGTGTATACTTTTAAGTTTATTTTTATTTTTTTTATAAAGCGCTGTACATGAATTGTTAACCAATTAAGTCTCATGTGAAATGTTGTTTACATTCTCTATTGTACTTAAATACAAAAGTAATTATGGAATATCATAATATCATCGTCAATCAGAATCAAATTAATTTTGAATATAACAGCTGAATACAGAATTCTTTTTCAACTTACCGATACTCGATCCTGGCGTCGAGTATTGCTAGAGTCATTGTCCGGATTCGAGTTGGACTTCAGTCATCTAAAAGGAAAGACTCGTACTTGCCAGTGAGATTCATTGGTTGACTTCATATTTGAGACTTGGATGACCCGCGACTGGTTGTTAGATTTCTACCCAACACTGTTAATACAGTTTTCTTGTACCTTATACTGCAAAACTATGGTGCTGGCCTTGTTCCATTATTGTTTGTACATTTTTATTTGATTTTTCGTGTACTGTCACTATGTTTGTACCGAAGCTGAAATATTAGATCGAAATAAAAAAACGTTTTCCATATATCCACACTATGTTATTTTCAACGGACCCTAATGCACTTTATTAGCCTCAGATTTTAAGTTGTCGCGGTAGCGCTCGTCTCAGAGAAACTGTGATTTGGTTGCCAATTGGCGAGTCTTACTTAAATACATCTGTCTTTCTGCACCATTGAATACGGTAGATCAATTCATACTGTTGTAAAGTTTGGCAACATAAAGTCTAGTTATACAGTATTCATACAGCGCACTGTATACATATAATGAGTCGCAATAGATAAGACACATTTTTCCAAGAGCAATTTGTCCATTTGCAAATGTAATTTTATGTGCACAATTTATTGTTTTACTGTGTCAGAATGTCTATTTTCTATATTGCTGTCACATTAGTATTATTACGTGTATTTACTTCAATTAAACAAATTTTGATTGAAGACTGTTTTTGATTGCATGCTTCCGAACAACAACATGTGGTTTGATTGAAATGGGCTTGCGATCTCACCTTGATTAGTTAGATCAGATTCAACTTGTACGATGATTACATAAGCTGCATATAGTAAGTAGACAATTGACAATAAGTCTTTGATTTCACAGGATCAAAATATAATACCCAAATTTATCAATTTCAATAAACATTTTTTCTAAATCCAATACTACATAAAACCTGCTTGTTTGCTCGTCACCAACAGGCAACATTCGTAAAAGCTACCCCGCATATTTTGAAAATTCTCCCATGTTTTGAGAGTCACCGTCTCAGTTGGAATAATTAACATAATCCGGGAACTCAAGACAAAATCAGTCTTTGAAGGTATGAAATTTCGTACTTATCCCTATACATACCTTGGAGATTTTGGCATTATTATCGTATATATATGTATTATTTATACGAGACTTGAAACTTTAAAAGTAAGAAAACAAAATTTGTTTGTTCTAAAATGAACAGATTTTTCAGATTCAGAACAGATTCAATTTTTCTTTATATAATAATTATGGAATCAAAGAGCAATTATTTAATTTGTTGGAATTCAATATGTCACCTTGAAGATAGCAAACAAATTGTCTAAAATTAACCAAACCTTGTAATCTAAATAAAGTACAGGGTGCCACAAGAATCCCCACTTGGTCTTTCGTTTTTCCCAACCTATATAAAAAAAAACTTGAATCGACTCGAGCGTGTTTTTGTGGAAAAAAATTGGAGTGAACTGACTACTGTTCCAAACCACGACTTTTCTAGCGTGTAAGCATGATTAGCACCTTAGATGCTCATAATTAAGATGTATAGAGCGCAACCGGTGTAAGCAAAACGGTTTAATATGCTGGCGCATCGAATTTCTATACAATACAGGAAAAACTTCAGTGAGGTATGGCGTGGCATGATGGTACTCCTGAAGTATGTGAACCAAGATGGCGGACACCGGAACGTAGTCTGTGTACCAGGTTAGAGTAAGGCCATAATTCTAGATACAAATAGTACGGAAGTCACTTGACTAGTCCTCGAACTCGTGAAAGAACTAAAATTGGAATAAGGTTATGACCTAACCCTAACCTGATACACATACTACAATCCGTGTCAGCCATCTTCGTTCACATACTTCGGGAGTACCGGCATGGTAGCATGATATAAAAATCTAAGCAAAGTAATGAAATATATAAAGGAACAGGTATTACTGATTTTGGCAATGGCCACCAAGTCGATGCATCCGAAATAAATAACTGGCTAACTAATCCCATACCCGACATGGACTGGTTACCGAACGAGAAGAATGGCTCATATGATTAAGCCGTCCGTCCTATCGGCTTTCCTAACCCCTGGGATAAAAATGTAAATCCTATACTATTTGGATTTGTACTTTTCAAACCTTAATATTGATTTCGTTTGTTATCCTAATTTGTAATTGCACAAGAAGCTATGGCGTCCACTCGCGGAAATGCATTGCGGAATTGATTTCAACCGTTTGTTTTGGGTTTGACACGTGACAAAAATTCCCAAGGTAACCAACCAAGCGAAGCCGGGAAATTTGCTCAAACTTTGGATCGACGTCTCGTTTGTTTTTGTTTTCCTGTTTTTACGTACCGGGTATCTCCGAATGGTAACTTGTTAATTGGAAATGGATTACATTCCCCAGCACGATGCTGGGGTTTCCAGGAGCCACACTGCTGCCAAATCAACAAGTGAGTTACGGTACTGTCTAGTAAACATGCGCCATTATATGCACATTCTCAAAGCATTGGAAATACATATTTCTGTATTTGCGATACTGCAATATACCGGTACCGTTGTATATCAAAACAAAAAAAAAATCATAACAGTTAAACCTTATAGTCTATAAGGTCATGCATGAAATAAATATGGTAGTCATCAGTACTTCCTAATAATTTCTATGAAGCATTGTTTCTCAAGATACTTCATGTTTTAATTTTTTTTGTAGGTTTTGCCTGCCCTCCAGAATTCTCCATTTTAAATTTAGGTTTGTTATGGAGTTTTCGAAATAAACTATCTATCTATCTAATGCTTATATGCTGAAGGTTTGCTCTTGAAAAATAAGAAAGCTAGTCTACTTGCAGACTTGTCTTGAGAACTTTATTACAGAACCATACTTTTTCACTTTTGCAGAAAATTTACTAAAATATACCGTATCTCCTGAAGTACAATGCTACATATATTTTACTTACTTTGACATTGTAGGAAAAAGGGTTTAAAAATTCATTATTCAGATATTTCAAATATAAGCACTTATAGAAAAGCACAGGCTCGTCACAGTCTACATCACAAGTCGCGTGCATGAGCAACACGGATTTTGGACGTGCACATACACCCATATTAGTAAATGCAAATAGGGCAATGTTGGCGAATACTGGAGTAGGTACACTTTTCCACAGGCAATGATAGCTAATTATCGAAAAAACATATTTTTCCCTTGTTTATAATATAAACTGCACCGCACTTGTGCGGGACAAGTGGCATATCTGCAACTGCTATTGGCAAGCTGGAATTAATATAATAATACTATATTTCAATTCTGGGCTGCGGAATCTGAGTTTGGCAGGTTTTTGTTGGAAATAATATCATACCGGTACTTATAAAGTTGTCAAAGTCAAAATTATCGCTTCTCCAGGCTCAGATTCGGAATTTCAGTGTTTCAATGCTGGTGAAAGAAGTCTTGTTTTCTTCAACAACTCATTAATCGTTAGAGTTTTATTTCAACAAAATGAATTTTCCATTATTCCAGAGCTGAAGTTGGGAGTAAAATATTTTTTTCAAGTCTTTGTCAGAGCCAAAGTTTTTTTAACTCAAGTCAGAGTTGATTTCATTTTCTTCTAGACTCAACAGCTCCATTTCAAATAGTCGATTCGCATATTAATCTCGATTTTATCTATGATTTTTTCTATTTGTTCACCTCATTGGTTAAAACAATGACATTCTCAATGACGAAACACCACCATAATTTTCATGACCTATTTTGTCATTTGTGATTATTTAGAACTTTTTATTCCCAGGGATGAATCCCCAGCAGGAAGCTCATGCTCGTGCCATGGTTAGTAAGTTGTCGAGAGAAGAACTCGAAGATCAATACCTGAGATCACAAGAGGAAAACATTGTTTTGAAACGACATTCTCGAAAGCAAGATGAGAAAATTAAAAGGTGAGATTGATATGAAATCAGCTTCTGAATCTGAGAAAAGTTTTAATCTGACTTGAAATTCCTAGCAATTTTAAAAAATATCTTGGCTTTGTTTTGACGGAGATGTTTTAAGAAACTGATTAAAAAAACTTCAACTCTGACTTTGCCATTTGCAAGTGTTTTTCTGTTAATAAAAATTGACCAACTTCTGCGAAAATCCAATTCTAATTAAAAAAACATTGTTTTATGTGAGCTTTTTTTAATAGACGTTAGGAACGTTTCAGTGACCAGATGCTGATTTATTGTAGATTGAAGTAAAGATTGGTCATCTCATGGACAAGCTATAAACAATTGTAGCATACAGTTTCCTAACTACAATTTTCAATATCTTACCTTAATTTGATTTATTCATTTGAATAAGTATAACTTTGAGGTACTTTCGTTGTATGTGTACCAGGTTAGGCTATAACTTTATTCTGATTTTTCTGATTTTAGTTCTATTATGAGTTCGGAGACTGTTTATTTTAGCCAAGTGAATAATATACTCCCTGCCCATAGGCTTCCATCTCTTTACACAATTTGATGTATAGTAGGCGAACAAAATTAGTTACATTCATATCGGTACACATACTTCTGGAAGGTCTAACTTTGTTCTGAGAAAGCATGAATAATGGGATCTCTTTTGTTTTTCAGGATATCCACTAAGTTGATTCGACTTGTAAATGACAGAAAGAAATGGTCAGCAGAAACTGGGACTCCTGGTATGTATTGTACTTGTTTAGATCTGTGTGAGTTGTAGTGTTGATGAATTTGTTATTGTTTCTGTTAATGTTTTATGTGTTATCAATTTATAGTCGCTCTCTGGATATAAAATATTGAGCAATTATTTTTTTGGACCTCCAGAAGTATGCGCACCAAGATGGCGCGCAACCTGAACATAGTATGTGTGTGTCCCGGTTAGGATTCAGGTTGTGCGACATCTTAGTGCGCATACTTCTGGAGCACCATTTTTTTCATCATAAATATGTTTGGATTTTTTTATTTATATTGGGGCTGCTGTAATCGAACAGCGCTTACCTGAATCACCATGAAAGAAGTCCAGCAAACCTCTTGTACATAATTAACTCCCACAAGATTCAAACCTGCTAACCCACGCAGGGTAATCAGAGGTGTGACGGCAAGTATATTTCTAAATCTTAGCATGATGTCTCACCTTTGGACCTCAAATGGTCAATGTATTTAGGAAAAAGAAGCACACGGGAAGTATCCTTGGAAGAAACTATTGAAACACAGCAAGATCAGATTAGAAAATTACAGAAAGACAATGAAATGCTCAAGCAAAAGGTGAATGAGGGTTATTCATGGTAAATACCTCACAAAGTAAAATTATAATTGTGAAAAATAGTCGAAGACCAGAATTTTACAACTTCTCATTGAGGAGTCAGTCACGTCACAAATTAAATATGACATGTAAGAAAAAATGAAGTATATGATTGTGGGCCATTTGGTACAGAAACCTGATACTGGGTAGCAGAATAAGCTGGGTTATTGTTTTCATTTTCTCATCTTTTTGTTACTTATATGTGTGATATTTATTTGGCAGTTTGGCCTATTATAATTATGTCTTTTGAATTAGTACATATTTTCTCGCATATAAGCCTATCTCGCATATGAGTCGGTCTCCCAAAACAGCTCCAAACAGCATGGTTTGAGTTGTAGCTGTTGTAATTAAGTTAGCATAATGTCATAATGTCAAGCCTAGAATATTATAGCGAAAATTTGGTAAAATTGGCACTACAAATTAGGAAGACTACAATTTTTAAGACTCAAACAGTCATCAAATCAAGTTTGATAAATAAAGTTTTTTTCAGCTTCATGTTGCTAACCAACAACTTCTGACACAAGGCAGAAGACACACTCCCTATGGTCATGTACAGTCTAGAATTAACTCTGGGATTGAGAGAAGACCTTTCAGCGCAAGAGAACGTTCAAAAACTGGAACTAGATCAAAAAGTCCTGGTCAAGACAGGTAAAGCTTTTCAAATCACTGGTTAATATGAACAATGATTTTGATATAAATTCTCACCATAATTACATTTTTTGAAACATTATGTTGGTATTAATTGGTGGTTAGCAGGGCTGTGGTGTTGAGGTTTAACATATTTTCATTGGAGTGAGTCACAATTCAGAGTTTGAATAATTCTCAATTCAGGAGTCTGATTCAAAATTTGATTTTCTTGAGAGTTCGGAGTCATAGTCGAAATTTTCCACACTCTGGGGTCGGAGTCAAAATTTTTCCACACTCGAGGGTCGGAGTCAAGATTTTTCCACACTCGAGGGTCGGAGTCAAGATTTTTCCACACTCGGGGGTCGGAGTCAAAATTTTTCCACACTCGAGGGTCGGAGTCAAGATTTTTCCACACTCGGGGTCGGAGTCAAAATTTTTCCACACTCGAGGGTCGGAGTCAAGATTTTTCCACACTCGGAGGTCGGAGTCAAAATTTTTCCACACTCGAGGGTCGGAGTCAAGATTTTTCCACACTCGGGGGTCGGAGTCAAAATTTTTCCACACTCGGGGGTCGGAGTCAAAATTTTTCCACACTCGGGGGTCGGAGACAAAAATTTTCCACACTCGGGAGTCGGAGTCAAAATTTTTCCACCCACACTCGGGGGTCGGAGTCAAAATTTTTCCACACTCGGGGGTCGGAGTCAAGATTTTTCCACACTCGGGGGTCGGAGTCAAGATTTTTCCACACTCTGGGGGTCGGAGTCAAAATTTTTCCACACTCGAGGGTCGGAGTCAAGATTTTTCCACACTCGGGGGTCGGAGTCATAATTTTTCCACACTCGAGGGTCGGAGTCAAAATTTTTCCACACTCGGGGGTCGGAGTCAAAATTTTTTTCAAATCAGGAGTGGAAGTCAAATTTTATTTTTAATGTCAGGAGTCCGCATCAATTGCAAACTTCCCCCGACTTAACATCCCTGGTGGTTAGATATTTAGCCAAGAACTCATTTTTTTTTCCAATATAAAAAAAGATACTGAATTTACTGTACTGAATTTTAAATCTATATTTGTTTTCTCATTAGCTTTACAACTTCTGTGGGTCCGAGATACGGTCATAGTTTGTTGGAAGAAGCCAGAGATGAAAATAAAAATATGCAGAATGTTATTATAAGATTACAAGAACAACTTGCCAATGCTGAATCAGAAAATAATCAACTCCAGAATGAGCTCAGACTGAAAAGTGAGTAACATTGTGTTTTGATGAGTGAATAAAATCATTCTGTTAAATTTGATATAAGGAAATTTTTCGCAACTTATGATATTTTTTGAGTGATCAGAGGTGCGTGGGCATGAGTATTCCTAACGCTTATCTTATGTATTTGTACATAGTTGATCTGTGTTTGATTGTTGATTCTAACTCTCTTGGAGCTCTCAATGTAAAGTGCTTTTTGAGATTTTTATCTCCATTGAAATTAAAGTTAGCAAATAGTTAACCAGGCTGTAAAAATATCGTGATTGCTCTCAGGAGTAAATGGTAAATCATGGCCAATTCTTGCAAAAATAAATTTCTGCTAGCAGATTTCTGCCCTCCTCATGACTGCATAATGATTTATGTAACAGCTAGTAAGTCAAAGCTTACTGCATTGTCCAAGGCCACACACCTGTAATGATTATCCATTTAGCTATTCCCATGTCTGGCCTATGTAATTATGACTGTCCAAAGTTATTGAACATGAAGTGCACATATGAATCGTTTTGGTAATTTTAATTTTTTTGTTTCGATGTATATTGCACCACCACGTGGCATTACATCAACCTAATCCACCATTTTTTTGGTGAAGACGTTATTCAGCTATTCCGTACCGGTACTGATGTGAATTGCCATAGCATTGGGACTTGATTGTCCATTGTTTGATTCGAAGCCCATGAATTATCAAATAATAGATTTGGTTGTAAGCCACATAGGTTATTGGTAATGCTAAGAAAATCCATGTCCATAAATTCAAGCGTTGCTTTCTCTTAGAAATTGTCTTTTTCTCATGTTTTATTCTGATTTTATAATAGATGTTGCACATGAAGATGATGTTCTCAAATTTAAAGAGCATTTGAATTCAAACAAAAAAACAACACTGGGTGAAAATATTGAGCTTATAAGAATACAGCGTGAACTTAAGGAGAAGAGTTCAGCATTTAATGCAATGGAAGCAAGGTTAGTAGTATTCAATATAGCTTCTGTCTTAATAATATGCCATAATTTTTATATTAACTAGGGATCAGAGAGCCTGTAAAATGGCCCAATCCATAATCATATGATGAACCACGGCCTTTTGTCCGATTACTAGTCCATGTCAGGTTAACCAGTTACTTGTTTCAGATGCATGGACTTGACAGTGGAGGAATTTGTATCCTACCAGTGGTAACTTGGAACACTCCGCAGCAACGAGAAGTCCAGCAATCCTCTCGAACGTAGCTATCCCCACAGACTCGAGACTTAATAAGCTTTTTTTAAAATTTAGATTCATATTTAGGTATATTCACGATATTCTGTCATAATTAGTTATACCTTCTCAAATAATGCTATTCGACAGATGTGTTTGAAAATTTGTAATTCCTACAAAATGTAACAATTTTATCAGGGTTTCCAACTGGGTAGGTCAATTTACTCCAATGGTGTGCAAGTCAGAAATGCACACCTCTACACTTCTCAGAATTTATCAGTATTTGTTTCCGATGCAGTCTTTGTGTATGAACAAACAATGCTTTGCATTATTTAAATGATGTATTCTACAGATATCGAGAATTACAAGACACACATCAAAATATTCGACTCAACTATGACAAAGTTCTTCAAGAAATGGAACATCTCAAATCAAGACTCCATGAAGAAGAAAGTCGTAGTTTTAGTTTGCAGGTGAACTTGTGTTTTCTTTTATATTCGATTTTTGTCTACTATTTTTGAGCTGTTTCGAAATTTATGGGAAAATAAATGTTACGTATAAATGATTATTTATATTGGTAATTTAATTTTGCAGCTACAAAAGCACTACATGGCACTTAATATTCGAGAAGATCTTTGGGTCGCGAGATTTTACAAAAATTTTTTTTTTTCATAAAATTTGAGTCACTTGAAAAAAAGGGTGGGAACCACTGACATAGAACTTAGAACACTAGGGTTCTGCAGAACTCCAGTTAAAGAGCACCCTTCAAGAACTCATTCATTATGTTGCTATTTTTATTGAAGCTCTCAATGAGTCTCAAGGTGAAACTACTTCACATTGCCGAATAAATTGAAGTTTGAGTGTTTATTGACTATAATACTAGAAGGAATGTTATGAAGTGGTCTGAATATCATCATAAGTGTTCATCAGGTCAAGTGTTTTGAAGGAATTAGGATTACTGATTAATAAATTATAATTATTTATTTATTTATTAGGGGTTTCTTACCTTTTCTACAAACTAGGCACTAGTCAAGCGGGCACTATAAATAAGATAAGATATTTTTTTGAATTTGCCTTGGTAGAAGAAGAATGATTAGAGAATTTGGAATGTAGTGAAATGCTATCAAATTTTCAAATTTCAAGAACTAAAAATTTTCTGAGGAATATTGGGTACTAACTTGGTTTTAAACCAAGATTTCTTATTATAAACATGAACTAATGAGATTTGATGCCTTTCTTAAAATTCAATCAAACCAATCGTAAGGATGATTTATGTTGATCTTTGCAAAGCAAACCCTTTGTTCAAATGTAGAAAGAGATTATGTCTAATAAATCGTTATGGGAGATTAGCGTATGTCCTGATTTAAAAAAGAAGCAACCAATTACAATTTCCTTTGCCAGGCCTGGTTACTGTTTTTCTGGTGTGCATAGAAGAATACACTTTATTGAAGATTTTCAGAGTATTCAACTATTTTTAGGATTTACCAATATTGATAATATTTTTTATCAAATTCTGCATTGATCACATTGAACAATGTTATTATGTTATTTTGCTACAAATTTTTAGAGCCAGATGAAAGGAGGAGGCACAAGCCAGCGTAAAACTGCTGAACTGCAACAAACAATCTATGATTTGGAAAGAGAACTTGAAATATTGAAAGATGCTAATGAAAGATTGACGAACAAGTATGATCGAAGATAATAATAGTTTGATAGTTAGATAGAAATCCAGGACGCTATTACTTTTCATTTTTCTATTATTTTAAATTTTCCTTCAGTCTTCAGAACCCGATATTTCAGTGTAAATTTCGACGTCATATTTTAATTGAGAGGTAACATTTTTTATTTATTCAATATTGCTTGACCACCTTGATTATAATGTTAAATTTAATCATAGCATTAAATGATTCACTATGACCTAATTATTAAAAAATCTTTTCGACAGTGCGTTTGCATCAGGACAAGAACAAAAATGGAGGCATGTTGAACGTGAACTAAGATCTCAAATCGCACAGCTAGAAGCTGTTGTACAATATGATCTGAAAGATAAAGATTCAGTCTTACAGAAAGCTGCTAATGAACGAGGTATTTTACGATTTGTTCTTAATTTGTCAAAAACAGCATATCGACTGATCAAACTAAACACACCATCTCAAAGCGTGATGACTCAACTATGACTCTACCAACCAACCAGAGTCATTGTATAAGCAAAAAAGCTTAGTGAAATAAGATGTACTATGTTACATTTTAGTTTGAAAAAATCCAAATTCACTAGTTCAAAGCAGCAATACTTTGAACCAGATTGTGTTAGTGTCAAGGTAAATTGTTACCAACACATGATCAAATCAAAATTGGTTTCAAAATAACAATGGTAAGCGTGGTGTTGGGCATAAGTTTCTAAAGCCTGATTCGTGATTCATGGATGGCCCTCGTGTATTGAGTCTCTGCAAATTTTAAAATTTGAGTCCCAATTCAAGCCACTGAACTCCCGAGTCCAAAGTCATTTTGACTTGCTGCTTTCTAGTCACAAGTCAGGCGGATATCATGGTAGATTTCATAATCATCTGTGAAATGGATAAATAGGAGTGTGATGTAATACTGACTGGTACTAATATATATTAAATCAATCGTTTTCAAGCAATGAATGATCGCATGCAAAATGAAAGACGAGTTGCTCATGAAGAATGCTCTCGACTCCGAGTTGAGAATCAAGAATTGAGGAATCGCCTTCGATTGTTATCATCACTAGATGATGCTGTTGATGTGGTCGAGTTAGAAGAAGCTCTGGCAGTGATTCGTCAAAAACGACACCTGGCTGCGGAGCGGAAGCGTCCTGATTTTCTGGAAAGTTACGATGAATCAAAAGGTTTGGTGTTTTTTGGTTTAAAGACCTGCCAGCTGTCTTAAAATAATGCATGTTTATGTGCTGTCATCCCATTTGTATCCAATAAACATTTTGTATAAGGTTATTAATATTAAGGATGGATCATTTAATCAAATTAATTTCGATATTGCTGTTATTTAAATTCTCAGTGATAACAATTAAGCATCGAATTCAAATTGCAATTTTCTATGACATGCGCGATTCATAATTCGTGGCCCACTTCCGAAGGTTCTAAACACTTCACCTGCTCTTCTTTGAAAAAATCTAGTTTTGCTTTTCACTTGTTTCCATTAGTTTTTTTATGCGCCATGTTCAATATTAAATGACTCAACTAAAGCACAAGAATAAATGTATTACAGTTGCAGAATCAAAACAAATTGCAGCCAATCTACTTTAAATAAATGTAGTCATGGCAAATGGTACCTAACGGTAACGAGGGCCGTTGCCATTGTCTCCAGAAAACTGTGCCATGGCCCCCTAGAGGACTTTGCACTAAACCATTGTGCACGACTAAGATTGTATTCTATATCTCTTCGAGAAATTACCCATGCTTCATTAGTCTGTCTCTTATTCATGTTCAGATCTTGATACATTATATAACGAACTTCAAGTTCAACATGCAGACACTGTTCGTGAACTTGAGAAAACAAGAGAAATGTTATTAATGCAACATAAGATTAATAAAGATTATCAAATTGAGGTTTGCAAATTATCATTACGGTATATTAATTTCTTTTTGTGAAAATTTTTCATGAGTAATAACAACATACCTTTTCTCTCTCTTGAGATAAATAAGAACAATCTGAGGCCTCATCAAATTAATTTCATTTAAAGAAAAAAAGTTAGAATTTCAAGCCTTGTAAAAAAACATCAGCATATAACTTTACTCAAAATTTTTGGTAATTTCACACTCATGAACAACACCAGGTATAGTAGGAGAAGCTATAAAATCTGCAATTATTTTCCTTCTATCACTATTATTTATTATTTGAAAACTTGAGATTTATTGAGAACAATATTTTCAGGTGGAAAGTGTTTCAAATAAAATGGAACAGATGAAACGAGAATATGAAGATAAACTCGAACATTTTGCTCAACTTCTTGATGCAAGAGCTGCTAGAGTAAAGGTAGAAATATTTCTTGAATTGTGTCCAGGACTTCTGACTCCGGGTTGAAAAAATATTGGCTTTTGACTCCTGACCTCGGATTAAATTTTTTTTTTTACTTAAAGCTACTTTGGGCTTTCTTTAATTGATTGGTAAAAACGATTATTAAATTTTCCCTTTTGAGTTTTTTGGAGACTTTTTTACCATTCAAGTCTGAACTAGCCAACTAGGACCAGAAAGGCCAAAACTCTACTTTGACTCCATAGGCTGGATTGTGGCCCAGTGTTAGAAGCAAATTGTTTTCAGTTATTTTTCCTTTGAATTCAAAGTTCTGACAGACAAACTAAATCGAAGTATTCCAATGTTCTTTCCCTTTTGGTTAACAAAAATTATTCGTTTTCAGAAATTAGAAAAGCAATTACATGATGTTGCATACGGAACAAAACAATTTAAATATAAACCTGAAGATGAGGATGAGGTAAGTAGAGGAATATTAATTTGTTTCAAAGTTTTTACTCTTAGTGTTACATGCACATTGTTCATTTCAATCAATCATTCTTTGTTTCCTATCATTCATTTTGGTTTGCAATTCTTTTTGCTGAGAAGCGATAATTTAAATCAAGTTCTGAAAATTCTGTGGAGGGCCAGATACAAATAACTGGGTGAACCCGCGAGCTGCACCTTTATATTACATAAGCTTTCTGGTAGTCGCAGGCTCAAAAATTCTGGTTTATCTTATGACATACGTTGTTCACGAGCTCTTAGGGAATTGTATCATAGGTATAGATTGGACTCTGGTATAGGCTTTGCAGATTGAACTAAATTAAAAACTCAATTAACGGGTCGCACACGATTCAAAATTGGCACTTATCCGTGGGAAGCACACTTTTTCCTTGTGGGCCGCAGTTGCTCCATGGGCCGCAGGTTGCCCACCCCTGCAATATATTATTAAACCATTGTAACAATAAAACTTTGATAAAAAAAAATCTTAGTATATTGGACTTGCTGTCAATGATTATTGTACATCATCGAAACGAATTATTTCACTCAGGTTGAGGCAGAAAATGAAACTTTTGATTTTGCTCGACTCGAGCGAGGAGAAAATTTATTGGAGATCAGTATTACTAAAGTATCGCTATCGAGAGATGCAATACAAGCGATCGATGACAGAGAACCATCGACTTTCATCACTTTTGCTTTCTATGATTACGAACTCGTCAGCACACCGATCATCAAAAGTGGAAGGTAGTTTTTATAATGAATATGAAATCCAAAAATAGATCGGAAACAAGAAAAATAAATATTTTCATGCAATGCTTATTCATGTTTTTGCTCTTAACAAGGCCCAAGTCTCACTGATATCACAGGATACATAAGAACCAATATTGAAATATTGCTCGAGTGTGTTTATATTTCCCTGTGGTTATGATTTCCTTTTCTTATTTTTCAGTCCAAGATTTGACTTCACATCTCAGTATATTGTGAAGGTTGATGACTTACTACTTCACCATTTACAAAAGGTATTAATTGGTTTTCGCTTATTTACCTGTAGCATTTTTATGTACTTGTCACTTTCCTTGATGAAATATAACCTTGTTAAAAAATGTGTTTATGTTACATCATTTAGATGTGAAATGATTCGGGTCTGTGTTTTTATAATCTTTTGTTTACATTGTTTCACGGATCATAAGGCACATTTTAAATATCTAGGTAGAATGGACTAGGTACTAACCAGTACTAACCGGTTTCATATACAAATCGCCGTCTTACGCAATAAAGTTTGGTGCGCCTTTTAATCCAACGTGTCTTATATATGGATATAAGCAATATGTTGACAGGGCTGTTATAAATTAGCCCCGTGGCCCGTGGTATGTATAATGCGGCATATATGTATATGTAATTGCTTAGCTTTTGTGTGTTATCATGGGTAAACTGGCACTATATTTTTATGTTTGTCAAATCTTATTAGAAGTTTTGCTGATTTTCCCAATCCTATGTGTGTCCGTCGCTACGTTTTTTGTACGTTTTCCAGCGAAATTAAAATAAACTTATGATTCATATTACTAAAATCTAAATTAATTGTCTAATTATTGAAGTAATTAGTTCAAGTGTCGACTATTACTTACTATGTTTTCATTTTTAATTTCAGGATAGCACGTTAGTGGAACTTCATCAAGCATTTGGTACTGAATATACAACAATATGCGCTTGTAAAATTCGATTCAATCAATTGCTCGACAAACCACAAGGCAAACTGCATGGTACAGCTATTTTAACAGGTATGTTTAATTGACCAACGACAAGTAATATTTTTGGCTCAGCTGTGTGGTGCATCATGCTAAGCGTTAGGAATACGCTCGCCACTACATCAGTGATTATCCTATGTGGGTAGGTTAGAATCCTGCGGGGATAACTATTTATGTGGGGATTGCTTAAATCCTCACCAGCCTAGGGTGGTTCGCGTAACTGCTGGTCAGTCACGGCTTCCCCCACTCTCAAGTCTATGCATCTGAAACAAATAACTGGGTAATCAGATCTTTATTTCTGAGTGAGTGCAAGTAACCTAGCTTTGAGCGTAGCTTTGCTCAGCAATCACTCATCAGATCTTTATTTCTGTGTGAGTGCAAGTAACCTAGCTTTGAGAAAAGTTTTTTTAAAATATTTTTTCATTCTATTATTGTTTTATCTGTTATACAATTTATTATCTAGGTATAAAAGATGGTGCAAATTATGGAACTTTGGATTTCTGGGTGAGATTGAGAGTTCCGATGGACCAAGCAATTCGTTTATACAAGGTAAAATAATTGAATGCAATAACCATTTTGTTGCCTACTACTGGTTATACTAGCAAAAACCGATGCTGAGTTTCTCATGAATGATCCTGAGTCCTGACGCTCTGTACAAAACCGAACACTTTCAAGACAATTTCCAATATTTTACTGGTACTACTTACATAACTGTTAAACAATGGATGTTTCCCCAAGCATTGATTTCCTTGTTTATTCCCATAACGATGACCAATTAGCAATAAGTCAACGATGATGTAACAATTGCAATTTATGCAGCCGCTCAGACACTACTTTCGCTCAGACAGATATTCAAGCATGGTTGTAAACATTGTCTCATTTTAGTGCTTTTGCATGTTACCTATCAATTTTCAGTTGTTTTTCCAAAAAATAGTTGCATATCAAATATGCTAGTTGTCATTATGTCTTCCGAAGACATTTAGTTTAGTTGCAATATTTGAAAATTGATAAGCTCTGTGATAGACTAGCCTAAAATTAATTATCAGTACCTGTAAGCCGCGTGTGGTTCAATGTTTTGAATGAAAATGATAGTTTTGATTTTTATACGTGTGAGCCAGTTAACGCTAACTCTCCAAAACACTTTCAAAAAAAGCAGGTAAAATTTTGCAATGGTGAGTTATGGGGAGACTTTTTCAGGGGTCAAGAGTCAGGGAAACGTCCATGGATAGCTCTCCGTTTTAGAGCTTGTTTGTGACTCTCTAACAATTTTGCTTTGATCAAACATTTTTATATAACAAATACCAACATCTTTCAGTGGGTCTAGCATCTTTTATCACAATTAATTTCAGTTTTAAATATTCTAGCGAAATCTGAACTTCAATAGTATAAATCATGATACTATTGCGAAATAAAAAATATCAAAACCTGTTGTGTCTGCCTTGTATAGAAAGGGGCCCATGGATCCAAACACATTCTTATTCTACTTTACAGGAAAGAACAAAAGCACTAGGATATTTATCAGCAAACACGGCTACAACTCAGAAACATCTCGACGCTGCATTAACAACACAACCTCCTGACGATAATTTCAATCAACTAGAAATGCAAATTATGTCATGCAACCACGTACAAGCTCGTAGACCAGGTAATTATGATTTTTTTGAGCAGGTGTGTCCAACATTTTCTGCAGTGGGTCATATAACTAACTTCAGATATCTAGCTGAACCTCTCAAAAAATAGTTTTTGTATAGTTTGTCAACATCAGCTTTGAGGGAAGTTATAGAATAAATTGTCAAATCAGGATTTTATTCTGTATGGGGAAAAATCAGTGTTGACAAGGGCCACACTAAGTGGTTACTATTGTAATAGTAACTGGAATGTGGTGGGCCGGGTAAAAAAAATTGCCTGAATAAACTGCCACATTTAAATTATCCATAATCCAGTGTAGTGTCTCAACGCTGTTGTTCTCATGGTTACCTCGCTTGTCATTAAAATGTGTGATTACTGGGTATTCCAAGTCACTTCAGCATACTTGAATATCTTTTCGATATATATAGTTTGACTTTCATTTTTCCATCATATGTTAGACTTCTTTAAACGTGACGCTGCTCAATAATCAGATTGGTTTTCCCCATCTCCTATGCCCTATCACCCCAAAATTTTACAAACACCTATCCTTATATGTAGTGAAAACATTCGAGGAAAACTCATTTAGACCTTTTTCCAGGCTTTTAATAACATTACTGGTATACTAAAACAAGAAAAAAAAAACAATTAACAAGATGTAGCAATCTTGACCCATACTAACCAAATAAAACCCTCGCTTTGCCACGCGACTATTAACATCGCTCGGCTACATTAGGTGGCGCTAATTCAATTACATCACACTATGTTCTGTGCATATTTGTAGCCTGGTTAAAAATAAACTACTGACTCCAGCAGAATGATTATTGTTAAATCTGGCTTTTAAATAACATTGTTTCTTATATCAGGCGTTCAACCGAATGTATACTGTGTTTACAAGTTCTTTGATTTTGCCGATCATGATACAGTGATTATTCCAAATTCAAACAATCCACATTTTGATGATCACCAGTCATTCCCAGTACAAATGTCATCAGACCTGGATGCTTATCTAAAATCAGAGGTTTGTTGCTTGTTTTATCTTCAAGTAGAGATAAAGAAGTGATGAGGGTGCAGATAAGATAGACTAGTTGTGAATTGAGTACATTTTGTCAAACCAGACAAATTTTATTTCTCCTGAAAACATAATACAGTGATGATCTCGGTGGTGGAACAACTCGATACTCGAACAATTCGGTAGTCGACCAGAAAGTTCTAGTTACAAATGCTGCGGTACTCGAATGGAAATTCGGTGCTCAAACGTTCCGGAACGAATTATGTTCGACTACTGAGTTTTCCTTACATTGCGTGCAGCTTGTCTTGAGACTTCTTTTGAGTGAAAACTACTACCTCCACGCATTTACAAAATAGAAGCTTTATTATGCTCGACTGAACTTGGGCCTTGTTAATATAATATGATAATATATTTTAGAACCATGCTCAAAAAAGACAAGTTTCTAAATAATAAACTAAAATTGAAATCCAGACCTCATGAAGGGCAATTTTTCGTATCAGCTTGAAACGCTTTTCAGACCCACACAATAGGAAGGTTCAGACCCTTTCTTTGTAAATTCCTCGCTATGCTCCTGCTGGAGTCTACAGCCAAAATTTTATTTCTTGCAACGGGAGGCAATTAAAAATTCTCCCTGACTTCCCAGCCCTGGTCTTATTTAAATTTTCATGTTTATAATACTGGTAACACATTTTCTAAAATTTTATGAATTTCAACATTTACTTTTCAGAAATTAGTAATATATGTATTCGATGACGCTGATCCAGACATTGCATCTTATCTTGGGAAAGCAACAGTGGATCTGATACCACTCGCTCATAACAAAGTAATTAAAGCTCCATTTCAACTGTATAAAGTAAGTCATTTTGTGATTTTTTTTATCGAGGGATGTTCAGAAGGAATCATGTGTTCATGTACGGAATCAATCTGAAATTCATTATATTCAATATTTGAAATTCTTGATTTTAGGAATAATTTGGAATAATTCCAATAGAAGAATTATGATTTTCAGCAATTTGAGTCTCACTCTGTTGCCAAAAAGGACTTGATAATTTTTAAAACTGAAAAATATATAATATTATTTATTATTGAGATTGAGGGAAAACGTATGATCCTACGCTATTCCACAAACATTCCTAAATAATATTTACGAATATCAAATTTTAAACTAGATTGGATAATACTGAGAAGATATAGAAGTCAATGTTTAATGACTTATTTTGAAATCCAGAAAGTTAAGATAAAAAATGATTTGATCACATTTTTGTAACGTTTCCGAAACTAGTTGAAAACTATTTGGTGAGACTTCAATTGCCCAAAATGATAAATTTTCAAACTAAATTATAGAAAATTATCCTTCAGGAATTTAAAATACCGGTACCGGTATTCAGTTTAATAACGAATTCCGAATCAAGTCAAATATTCTGTTCATGTTGGGCATTCCTGCTTAAAGTATTAAATAATTAGCTATGATTTACTATTTTAACACAGCCTGATGAATCGGAAAATGGAACAGTTGAAATTTCAATGCGTTGGAAAGTTCAATACAAAGCTCCAGATTCCGTCATGAAAATTCCTGAATCTGACTCGGAACGAAGAGAAAAACAGCAGCAACAACAAATGATTCCCGAGAAATTGGTCCCGGTTTCAAAAGTTTCAGCATCAAAGCAAACAATGTAAGATTTCACTATTTTGACTTGAGAAGTTTTGTGGTCATGGACTGATTCATGAAACCACTCTTACAATTCTTACACCATCAAGTCCATACATCTGGAACAAATAACTAGTTAACTATTCAGCTTCTCCATCTCCCAGCTTTTTTATCTTCCAGAATAAATATGAAAATCCTATTTTCTCGAAACTTCAGAAGTACAATAAGATCTTTTTTTTAAAGGCCTCAGACACAAAAAACAACGAAGCCAGCTAAATCCGTCCATTCGACTCCGAAACCTAAAGTTTCACAACCAGAGATCAAAGAAATACCAATCAGTCCAGTGAGTTATTATCATTATTAAAATAATCTCTTGCTAAGCTTGAACATTGATGAATTATGTCCATCATGTGTGGTCGTGCTAAGTAAATCAAATATTGTCAGCAAGTCTCCTACTTTATGATTCATTTTTTTAAAGGATTGTTTTGCGCCTATCGCTCTGAACTAGGCTTCGCACAAGCAATCACTCCTGGGTAAAGTGCTACTTTATGCACGAATGACCTGAAACTCCTGTAATTTTAATCCAAAAAACAAAAATCGCGGTAATTTTTAAGACTTATGCTTATCTGGTGATTAGATATTCACTGTCAAAATATTGTACGTAATTGGAAAACAAAAAATGACTTATTTACAGTCTGGTAATTCTCATGCCAAAAATTCTTCCCAAGTAGCAGTAAAAAATTTACCATTAGGTTATCAACATTTAAAAGAAAGAAATTAGGGACATTGTGATGTGATATGTCTACCATAATTCTAAAAATTACTGATCATTCAGTGGTAAAAATTCACTAGCATCTAGCCATCTACTTTCATTTTACAACAAGAAATGGCCATTTTGTAAAACTATTTGATAATACGATTGCCGTGTCTCAAAAAGACCAGAGAATTTGATTATAAAAATATCACTGTCAAAAAAAATACTAATGTCTTCAGCCCAAAAGGGGGATCGAAACTCAAACGAGCCTACCTGAGAAAAAAGTATATTTTTGATATTTTCCGTAAACCTTTTTGAAATAGTTTGGTGAATATTGCTTCAAACTATGAATATAGATACCAGCTTAAAGAGCACCAATTCCTCTTAATATTTCGGAAAAAACTTTTTTTTTTATTTTAATTTTTACCCTTTTTTGCCTTGAACCCCGGTGCTATTTTAAAACAAATCAGGGTAATTTTTTGAGTATACCCTGCATATTCCACACTAAACTTCCTTTTTCTGTAGATTGAGTCCTCCTCTGTAAAAACAGTTGAAGAAGCTCCTCAACCACAACCAGTAGTGAAGGAAGTTAAGGAGAAAGTACCAGAATCAGTGAAAGTCTTACCTCAACCTAAAGCCAGAACTGTAAGTACCTTTTCTATACTATGTCTTTTACTCTGAACAAGGCTCTACACCAGCCGTTACTGCTAGGTGAGGTGCTATCGGAATCTTTACATAATTTTGTAATGAATTAGTTGTTTTGTATCGCCGACTTTGATGACCATATCGTCGTTGCTCCCTCCAGTCTATACCGAAAAAACATTGTTCTAGGAGCTTTATTTATACATTTTTAGTGTCGTTATGGATGTTTTATTGGTTGATGAATAATAAATCTCTCTCTCTCTCTATGATAGAAGATTGAAAAAGTCCATTCCTGAAGAATGCGACATAAACTACTTTGCATTTAACGCTACAATACACTAAACAACTTTTTAAGTTTTATCTAAATCTTTATTTCTATTCATTATCAAGCTGAAACCTGCTGCAACTCTTGAAAAACATTTTATATCGGAAGAAGAAACTATACCGAAACGAATATCAGATGATGAAACAATTCCGCAACCAGTACCTCAAAAAGTTAAACCAGTAAAAATTGTGCAGCCTGTCAAAAATAAATCAGAACTGGAAGATTCAGCTCTTGAAGGTAGTTGCGAGACATAATATGTTGAAATTTTTCATTTTTATCCCCGGGAAGACCAAGAAAGCAGCATATATTATATAGTGTATCATGGCCGCTCGCCTGGTTGGGTGTGGGAATAATTGATCTGTTATTTGTACTATTTCCGTGTACTTTGGCAGTGGAGAAAGCCATATCCAATCATTACATGAACCACACTGTGACAGTGAGAAGTCTAGCAATCTTCTTGCACATAATTTAACCCCTTAGCATTTGATCCTGCTAACCCAGAAAAGGTAGTTATCGTTGCAGCGACAAGTATGTTTAATGTGTTACGCAAATTAATGTGTATAAATATTGTGAATTGTTTAACGTTATCATTACCAGTTTGGCTTAAGCATCCCAATATACTTTTTTATAAAAATTGATCAGTTGAAGTAGATAAAAATTTATTTTTATCATAGATTCAATACAAGAGGAACTCACTGAAGATCTTGATGAAGACGTAACTGATGCTGATGATATTGAAACAGATACTGACAGTGTTGTTATTATGCAAAGTCCTAATGTTACAAGTAGAATGAAGGTGAATTTTTATCATGCCCAATACAAAGCGTTAGACTGGCAGGTTTGGCCATTAGTAAAGCTTACCTATAATATTAGGATTTACAGGATTGAATGGGATTTACATATTTATCCCCGGGAGAGGAAAGTCGATAAGATGGGTTAATCATATGGCGAACCACGGCCTCTCGTCTGGTTACAAGTCCTTTTCGGGTATGGGATTAGTTCGCCAGTTAGTTGTTTTCAGATGACCGTTAGTAAAGCTTACCTATATGATTTAATTCTGGGTAAGATTTAAGTAAACAAATTTGACATTTCGGTGCAAGAGTTACTCGGTAACCCTTTATTTCTCCACCATACTTAAAATTCGCTTCGTATAAACAGTATACGAAATACGGTAAATCCACTGGTTACTTATCGAGCGTCACCATCTGCGATAAATTCATAATTTTGTTCACATAATACCCATTCGAAGATTATTATTAATTAGTAATTACTAGGTTCCATATTTGTTCTGAAGGGGAAATGTCGATGAGACAATCTTTATTGTTACAATAGGTTTGGCGCAACATCTGTAACCACCGATATAGAAAATAGACCATATTTTGATTATAGACATAAAATCACCCCTTTCTTTTAATTTTAGTCCGTTTTTTTCTGCTTATTGCTAAAAATTGCGAAAATAGTACATTTTCTCCACACAGACTGATGATCAGATCCGTATATCGGTGAATCATCTTGCAATTCATCCTGAAAGTACAGTTTGGAAAAATCCTGATATTCAGAGATTATTCATTGAATATACATTCCTCGGAGATGTGGAGGAAACTCCTGTTGCTCTTCCTAAACCAAGTAGTGCAAATCAAGAGATCAGCTATAATTTCAGTAAAGGTTAGTGTTATAGGGCCCCTTCCCACAGTGACATCATACAGGCATCTATAAAAATCATTATGATGTCATAATAATATGTAGCTCTAAAATGTATTATAAAAATCTACTCTACTCTAGGTTATTATGGGAACAGTTTTGGGCAAAAGTCGAGTCTCGGGTGGATTCCTTCTCTGAGTTAAATCTCACTCGTGATTGAGTATGAGTAGTAGTTGATTAATGGTGACTCAAGTTCAAATCCCAAACATGGTATATAAATATATATATTTATAAATATAATTTACTCATAAGTGGCTTCACTTTCAGCCAAATAAGCTGAATCTTTTTTGTTTCTAGTCGTGCATGTCGATGCGGAATCAAATGAAGAAAAGCGGAACCATCTTGCAGCAATGATATTGCAGAACAGTGGCGTGGAATCTACAATTGGTTTCGTTGTTGTCTCCGAACCACAAGATGAAGAAAATGAATGTGAAGAATTAGGTTGGTTCGAGTTTTTTCTTTTTCTTTTCATCATTTCTTGTATACTTATAACTCCGTGTTTCAAAAATGATAGTCCTTTTTGCTACACACGTCCCACCTGTGTTCCTCTTGTCCCACTGTTTCGAGTTAGTAGATATTTATTGCAAGGCAAATAGTGAAGCATATGAAGTGGAATCCATGATATGTTCTGGGTTAGGATGGATATATATAATACTTTGTGGCAGAAGGTTAGATTTTTCATATGAAGTGGGATCAACATAAAATGCGCATTATTAGCAGGATTGAAATTAACAATGTTCCTTCTACTCTTCAGGTGAAGCCACAGTGGACTTGAATCAAATACTTATGGTAGGGCAAGATGTGAATGACGCTGATATTGATGTGATGGACGTAAATGAAGTCATCGGTAGATTGAACGTTTCTGTCGAAGCAGTTGCCGCACTCAACTCTGTTGTGAAGGAAGTTCATCATTTGGTTGAACAGCAAAAGGAAAAGTAGATAATGTCCTCAAAGTCAAATTTTGAGGTTTTAAATGTTAAAGGTTGTGTGTCAAAATATGGAAAACGAGATGAGTTTTTAACTTTTAATTCATAAAACATGATTTGATTCTTGAATGTTGTTAAATATTACAATATTTTTGTGAACAAATGTTTTTAAAGCTAATTTGAACTTATACAAATTCATTGGGCCATAGTGTGTACCAGATTAAAAATGCAGTACTTGATATGAACATTAAGCATTGCAGATTTTTTTTTTTTTAAATTCAAAGAAAATGTAATTGAATCTCTTTACGGTCATCTTCTCTTGGTCAGTTGTTTTCAAACGTTCATCACCATTCGACCCCTTTCAAAGAATATCAGTTTTTGACCTCCTGCACTTCTTATCCATGTCACACAGAGAATCACTCGGTGACTATTAAGGGGCACCGTATCTGAAGCCCTGCTCTAGGGAAATTTAGAGTACAAGTACATATTGGGGTAACACTGAAGGATCTTTAGTTATTCTTCCAAATTGATAAAAATATCATTTATTGGATATTCGAGTCTAATACCACCTTTTTTATTTCCACATTTTTCTGTAATATTCCCAAGTGCTGCTGATATTACTAGTAGTTATGTTATAATGTTACTAATATATATCTGTTTTTATACCTTATATTAAAAAAATATTTCCTATGCTTATTATTGGTAATAGGGGTAAAGGGAAACTCAATTGGAATTGAGAATTATTACTTGTAACATTGAAATATAAATAAAAATAATAAAAAATATTTGAAATTCACTGGATGTTTTGGTGTTACCAGCACAGATTTTTGTTGTAGCCGGAGCCTGAAATAGTGCGCATTTTTTTTTCTAGAATATGTACGTATGCATTTGATTTACCTCGTTCGAATCTAGTAAATTATAATGGTATGATCTTATGTGTTATATGCTTACACAACTTATTAAGAAGGTAAAGTACAGGTTAAATGAAAGTACAGAGTGTGTGGTTACACAGCCTAATCAAAACAAGCAAAATTTTAGTTGGTATAATTTATACTTTTCTGTTGAAAACGATAGCATGGATGTACGGATTGTGAGTTAAATAACTCAATAGGATGCCGATAAGACGACTTAATCGTGTGGCGATCCACGGCTTCCCGTTACCAGTTCATGTCAGGTATGGGGTTAGTTGGACAGTTATTTATTTCAGGTGCATGGACTTGATAGTGAAAGCGATAACCGACCAACGGTTATGTGTACGACCCTACGGCGGCGAGGAGTATAGCAATCCTCGCACATAGTTGCCCGCAACGGGATTCGAAGGGAGCCATGCAGGGTAATCAGATTGGTATATATATATAGTTGAATTTACTATTTAGTGTGTGGCTCAATTCACTTAAATAGAAAATCGAAGTTCTGTCCCAGGAGTGTTGCTCATTTTTACTTTTTCGTGCTAAATGAGTAATATTTTAATCTTATTTCAGTTATTTAATAGCAATTATTAATTGTATCTCTCGACTTTTGCTGTAAACATAGAAGTGTGCAGCCTATCTGAAAAGTCTGGAAGTTTCGAGAAATATATCTTCTATCGCCTATCGGTAAATTTCCTATCTCACAAGTATTCCTCTTAACATTTTTCTCGTCCGAAACTGTGCGTAAAGTGTGAAAAACTCTATATAATGGGTCATCTGAGACGAGGCGCTAAATACAACCTAACGATTGAATACGCAAATCCAATTTCCACTGAAAAATAAGGAAGTAAATACTAAAAATAAAAAGCGGTGTCATAATATATATATGTATATATAAAAAACAGAAAAATCTTAAATTTTGTGTTAGGAGTGCCACGACAGATTAAAACTCTATTTTAGACTTGGTTAAATCGCGGAATATTCGATCAGAAACTATATCGTTGTCACCTGAGGTTGATCTATCCCATTATCAATTATAAAATTACCGTCGGGTCGCACACAACTCCTCCTTATTGTGACGATGGCATAAAACTAATCAATGTAAAATTTATCGCCGACCTTGGGATTTTGCTACGACGATATCTTAAAAATAATCTTGAGCGGCTCAAATTTAACAAATTATCAAGAGCGTAAAAATGCGAATTAATTCTAATAATAATCGGGCGGTATACCCTATATTTTTATGTGAGTAATAATACTACTACTATTTTATTGTAAGTAGGGTCGAGTAACGTTGAAAATAATTAATTAATATGGCAAATCCTTGTTAATAATCGCATCACGGTCATGGACTGACTATTTTGCGCAACAGAAAAATCATCATCGCTGAAATCGGCAATTTTAACGGATGGCATAATCGCCAATCTAACAAGGAATGATGAGGATGATGAATTGCGATTGTACCTGCCTAAATGTCTTCAAATAATAAAAAAACCTGGTTGAAATTCATCCATCTTATTAAAAACATCAGAAATTTCCGACGACGATTTTTCGATGGTGCTCCAGTGTTTAATGAAAGAATTCGAGTTGGTGAGACGACACAGACCTCAATATTTGTTCGGTCGAATTTAAATCCCCAAGTACCATCTCAAATACCTCTATCGATGTTTAAAGATCTGTTCTAAAAAAAATCATGCAAATTAATCGCAACTTGGCCCCCATTTAGTAACAAACACGGAAACTTATTTATTAAATTTCAGATACCATAGAAGGCATAGAATACCAGTTTCATAATTATTACTATTTATATAAGAAACCAAAATTGTGGGTAGGGCTGGGCATTTTCGAATACCTTGTGATTTCAGAATTGAATCGAATAATTTTTTCGAATCGAATCGAATTTCGAATACTTGAAAATATATAATTGTAAGCGACTTTATTATAGTAATTGGTCCTCTCAACAAATGAATTACTAAAGACATAGAATAAATCACCCAGATAGATTACTGAACGTTCACACAGAATAACTCACTACAGGAAATAGTCATATGTTAGAATTTCGTTGAAAAAATATGACTCCAATGAAAAAAAACTTGGGGAATTCACCTCGAACATTAGCGAAAAGATGATAACAAGATGGCGGAGATTCGAAGTTTAGCTCTGAACCGATTCGAATATTTTACTATTCGATTCGAATATTCGATTCGAAATGACCACCCCTAATTGTGGGCACTACCTACTCACGATAGACGCCATTCTGAAGACACGAACATGCGTGGCAAACTGTCCGAATATATATATCTAGTTTTGATTGGGATTTTTTCGATCTTGTTGAATCGTCAAATTTGATCTGTTACTGCAACATTGATTCCGCTCTATTGCAGTCGATCGGGTGTTTTAGAGACCATTGAAAATCCCGAAATCTTCAATAGAATTCCAAGAATGTAGGGGAAAGTGGGAAAGGTTGGGACACTTTTTTTCTTTTGCATATTTTGAGCTGTTGATTCTGCTTATTCACTTAAGTTGGCGGGACTAATGCATAAAGGGGTAAGTGTAGTTTTTATTCAGCGACTAAGAAATTCCCTTGCGACACACATCTTACTACCAAAATGCTTTGACAAACGTCTGTCAAGTGTCCCACTGTACCCCACTTGTGGGGCACATTCGAACAGACCCCGGGGCACGATGGGTCAGTCTGTCAAAATTCAGCGAAGTATGCCCTTAAAAATAGGCAATTAACCAGCATAATCATCTAAAGAACAGGGAGACTTCAAATTTGAAGATTTATTATTTTTAAAATCAATGTTCAACTGAAATAGTTCAGATATTTTGACAAAAAAATTTGCAAACAAATTTGATTATTTGATTTGATTATTGATTCTCGAATATATTCCATATTGGGCCATGGGCCGAAAGAAACCATATTATTACACAAAATATAACGCATCTATAGTTCTCTAAGCACTTATTGTATCAAACACTCTCGAATTGTGCCTCGTAGGGCATGTCCCACTGAACCCCGGTCCATTGTTCCCCATAGGAAACAAATATTTTCAGACCTTCCCACGTCGAAATCCGGAAGACACATCCACTCGCCAACGTTATCAATATTTTACAGTGGACTAAAGCTGAAAAATATCAGACGGTGGTTTGTCATGTTGGAAAGGCTAAAGTAGAAAAAAGAAAAAACTGGAACGGTGAAATTTTAGTTTCAACCTCCCAAAACTAATTTCACCTCCTAGCTTGTGCCGCTCTACCCGTCCGTTGTCCGTTCGCGGGGACGTTGTAACTCACCGAAGGGCGAATTGAAACATCGAACCGTGGACAGGATTGCGGATATAGTATCAGCGTGAGAGCTGATTTTCCACTGTGCCCCATGTCCCAAAGTGCCCCACCTTCCCCTAAATTTCTTTTGGTAGAATAGTAAACTCTTTGACCATACTTTACATTGATTAGCTTATCTTTCATCACATTCCGGGAAGAGATGTCGTGTCGCCTCGACGTAGTTTCAGAATGAATACAAAGGTACATCGCACGCGCGATTTACTGCGTTTTATCTGTAGTGCATGTGGTAGGGTATTCTGTTTTACCTGTCAAGGGGTTCTTACGACAGAATTTATGTTTTTTTCGTTTTATTTTCAGTTGTATGATAACGTTTCAATATATATGTGTAAAAGCATAACGCCACGCCAATTTCAACATTTCAATAATAATATATAATAAATTTAGAAACAGTAAACCAGAGATAAGAAGTTCAGTTAGCAAAAGAGATGAAAGAAATCAAATTGATGAACCGTTTTCCAGCCTCAGTATTCACTACACTGACAGTCAAAAATTTGGGTAGCGAATTCAATCCTCAAATTATCTTACGTATACTATCGCCGATGATTGCATAATTACACATTTTACAGATAAACAACGATTAATAACGGGATATCATATTAATTTCCCGAATATCCCCACATCCAACAGCGCCCACAATAGTGCCAGATGAACGAATTCCATTCGGGCATAATTACACCTGCTTCAAAACAACTCAGCATGTATATATAATTTTTCGGGTTAATTATGCTCGTCGTGGTATGCCAGGCATGACGTTATTAATTAAGTAAGATTCTGATCCGCCCGTTTCTCGTCGGTAGCGGTGGCGCAGGGGAAGCGTGGAGACATGGTTGAACATGAGGCCAGGTATGAGTGTGGGTTCGAACCCCACAAGGTAGACCTAGTTGTAGGAAAGGAGTTGTAGGAAAGAGTCAGCAAAAAAGCCAGGTTGTTCCAGGGAAGAAAGGGAGTCGTCGGACAGGAGATCGAGCGAGAGCAAAAAGGCCAGGTGGAAGGCAGTCAAAAGAAGGAACAGACAAGAGAGCAAAAGAAAGGTGTCCAAGGAGTAAAGGCCGCAAGGTAGAAGAACCGAGCTGTAGGGAAGGGTCAGCAGAAAAGCCAGGTGGGTCGACACCGAAGAGCGAGGTGGGAAGGCAGCTGAAAGACAAGAAACATGGCCGAGGAGGAACAGCCGACGGGCAGGAGAGACGGAGGGGCAAAAAAGGTCACCGTCCAAGAAAAAGATCCGGCGTACAAGAATCAGACGGGATTATCAAAAAAGAGAGAAAGTCCAGCGGGACAGCCAAGAGCAGAAATTTCAGGATTCAGAAAAATGGGCAAACAAAACAAGGAAGGAAGAGGAGGCGGGGAAGCAGAAATTAAAAAAAAAAGAGCGATAAAGCGAAAAAAATGGACAGCGGCAACAACACAAACTAGAAGAAATTATGGTGGCATCTAGATAAGAAAGTTGATGAAAAAATGAGTTCGTTCTGTGGTGAGCAAGAAGAAAATATCTTCAGTCAGTCAGTCCCCTTATAAAAAAAAAGTGGAGGAGAGAAAGTGTTGAAGAGGAAGAAGAAACTGGTGGAGAGATAAAAAAAAATAAGAATGCAGCAAGAAAGAAATTTGTAAAAAAAGTCCCACGCATCGCCGCCACAGCAAGCAAGCCACAGCAAGCAAGTAAAAGAAGCCAGCCAATCAGAGCAACAACAAACACAAAATAGAAGAAATAGGGCGCGAGTCAAGTAAAAAACTGGTGGAGAGATAAAAAAATAAGAATGCAGCAAGAAAGAAATTTGTAAAAAAAAGTCCCACGCATCGCCGCCACAGCAAGCAAGCAAGCCACAGCAAGCAAGTAAAAGAAGCCAGCCAATCAGAGCAACAACAAGCACAAAATAGAAGAAATAGGGCGCGAGTCAAGTAAAAAAATGGTGGCCTTCAATGATTTTTACTGTTGCATAAAATAAATATTCAAATACGGGCATATTTTAGAAGTGGACATAGGGTGGACATAACGATCGTTTCAATATTATGTTGTTTTTATTAATTGTCTCCATCATTTTTAAAAAAATCGTTTTTCTCTTTTAATACTGGACCAATTATTGCTTTGAAATTTTCAGTGGTTAAAGATAAAAATTTTGGTGCTCCCGAAGTATGCGAACCAAGATGGCGCATCAAAATTACTGCCATTGGGTGGCGCTACGTGTCCATATATTTGAGCATAGCTCTCTTGTTAATTTAATTGGGATCATTTTAATCTGCGGTTGTGTTGATTAAATCAAAGAATTACTTCTCAAAAATACCATGACAATCCGTGGACATTAAAATGCGTGGTAAAGTAGCTGAATATATTTTGTTTTAATTCCTATTTTTGTGAATTCGACAAATCTGTGCTGTTCGTGCAACCCTTACGCCGCTCCAGTAATCAGTAATGTACGTAACAATGTGGATTGTGGAGGTAGTAAAGAAAAGTATTCGAAGGGAAACTGCCCAGGTATGTGTACTACGGTAGAACCCGAATTTTTGCGATTTGCAATGTCTTAAAAAACGTTTTTAATCGGTCGTGACCATCATAAAACACCACTTTCAGACTTTTGGTGTTCTCAGTTTTCAGGTTTTATTTTAGTATTTTGTATTGACGCTTTTGAATTTAGATAATTTGCCACCATTGGCACCCACCAGAAAAAAATTTATTCCTCGTTTTTCAAACTTGCGAGAAACACCACTTAGGTATCTATCGAAGCGACCTGTTGCGTCAAGTGTTACCAAATTTTCGATTAGTAAATTCTGAAATTGCTATTCTAATAGTTTAATGTTAATTTAATAAATGCCCAGCCCTACTCAGTAACCAGTAGTTATTGACTCGGTTAATGTTATTTGAATAAACTTGCTTCCTGCAATTTAGGGTTCGTTCCAATAATTCAGTACAGCACACTATCCAAATTCCAAGAACTTCCTCCATTTGGCTCAATGAAACAAACACTCTATGTGTCTCACAAGCGAGGGGCGTCTGGGACCTTGACAGATGCTTCATATCACGCCATGCTTGTCTCAACAATAATCTAAATTAATCGCGGCCAAGTCTGGATTTCATGGCCTTTTCGAACGAGAAATCGGGCGTGCAATCAGAAATTCCCGCGTGCAAATAAGAATTTCTGGCGTGCAATTATAGCTCACGGCGTGCAAAACAACTGCGCCCGCTAAACTGATTTCGAACTAAGATACCTCTCAATACATCTGCGTAAAAATAAGTTGGATCATAGCAAAAATGGACGTTTGACCTTTGACCCCCAAAACATCATTTCTATATTTTGTCACTAATTTTGAGAGTGTTTGTGCGACTTTAGATACCGGTACTGTTCAGTACATCCGTGTAAAATTATTGTATTAAAAATACGCTGAATCAGAGCCATAACTGGCCAGCGTCGGCGAGGAGGCGATTTTTCTCACGGGATTCCTATCATTCAACACGATATGGTGATTTTTGCTTCGCATTTTTCGATCAGGCCAAATCTTGCAAGCAAGTATTAGTCGACAATTGTAAAGTTATAATTTTTTGGCATCTTTATATTACTAGATTATTGATTTAAAAACTATTTAAACCGATTTACATTGGTGAGCAATTGCAAATTTTCGGCGTGCAAAATTGAATTCGCTCGCGTGCATTTTTGTGGAGCGCTAGCGCCCTCGGGCGTGCATCTGCCATGGAATCCAGTCTGGATCGCGGCCGTCACATGCCCAAAATTGCGTTTTTTTGCTAAAAACTTTCGAATGCTACAGTAAAAGTTTTTTTCCTTCGGTAAATCTGATTATTTTTTCCAAGGAATTCAATGATGACCTTACTAGATTGCGCTTTTTTGTAGTATTTTTTGCAACTCCATCATACTGCTGTACTGTAATATTACCGATGTTGAGGGACAACTGGACAACAATGTCCAGACGTTTCCCGAAGGAGAGGTGTCTGATCATCTGTAAAATGGGTTTCTCTGAAACGGGACAATGTCACCCGATTTGTATAGTGTGCCGTACTGTAATTAAAGAAAATTATATTTACCACTGTCCCCCCCAAGTTTGCCGATTTATTTATATAAACATTGCAGGGAAGTATATGAAATGGCATTTGCAAGACATATAAAGGTCCGTTCTGGTAGGTTTGTGTAGATTCTCCACCCCGTTCCGGTCCGTTCTGATAATTATTAAAGGAACCGCACTGGTAGACTATACCGGTACCTGTAGCCTATACAAAAGTCAGTAGGTGCCGTATGTCTAATGTCTGTACGTGACAGGTGACAGCACTGCAATAGCATATTGTAAGTTATAAATTTACTTTGAACTGACTTTCTGACTTTGTTCGCAAGCTGTGAATATACAGATATACTTCAATATCTAAATAAACTGACGGTTATGTCAGTACTGCAGTATTTCTACATTTTAAAGAAAGCTTGATCACTCCTGTGACAGTATACTTCTGTACTTACTACTGTACTACACGGTATAGGCCTAGTTACACTCTTAATTAGTGTGGTTAATTCAATGAGGCTTTCTTTATTTAGAGAATTAGACTACGGTATAGTAAAATTATTTTGTGTAAGCCTGGATTATGTCGACAAGAGTTCTCAGGAAACTTCATGGACGTGATGATGAGTTGAAAAATTTAGCAGCGTTAGCTGCTGTAGAAAGTTCTGAAGAAGAGGATTCTTCTGAGCAAACTGAAAAACCATCTCAAGAAAGAAGAAACCTATTTGACTTGGTATTTAGAATTTTTACTACTAAAGTACGGCACAGTTATCCAATTCCAAGAATAGCCCCTGCATTGAAAGTCATGAAATATAACAGTGAGTGCAAGGCCCTCCACATCGCCACAAATTAACTGCACAATAAACTAAAAGGGAATTTCAATCTAAAAACGTCACCATTAGATTTTTTAATAAAAATTAACCCGCTGTACTGAAGGGAAAAATATTTCACCATGGCATTTAAAAGTTTTTACCAAAAAAGTGCAATTTTGGTCATGTGACGGCCGACACCTGTTGCGATTGATTTAAAGCCGGCACATCTGCCATCTTGCCAGATGTCCTCATTTCAGAGACGACTAGAGTGTTTGTTTTATTGAACCCATTGTTGGGACACCTTAGAATCTGAGAACTGTACCCTACTGCATTATATATAGTTACAATGGTTTGTCATTAAGTTTGGTCCTAATTCGTCGACTGAATGACTATATCTTATATTCATGGGAATTTTTGTGTCCAACTTAAAATATGAATTTCTTCTTATTAATACAAATCGGAGCTTTCTCTTACAGGTGTATGTCATAAATAACAAACGTTGTTGTACGCATTTGTTTTGTTGTATGTCAAACGTTCCTCCATTTTGTTGTAATTGAAACAGAAATAAAAATTGATTTTGATGTGGCTATTGTTTAATTAATGTGCATATTTGGCCCAGAAGCATATAAAGTTTGCAGACCACTGATTTAGAGTTGTTACCAGCTCCAGTCATTTCCTTGATTCCAGTCATTTTCTCATAGACTGAAGGTGACCCTTGATTAACCGGCAACCGCCAGTGAGACTTAACTCTGTTATCGACTCAACTTGATAACCTGTGACTCGAATTGACTCTCGACTTAGATTTAGAGACAACTACCCTACCAGCACTGGGTTACACTCAAAGTAAATTGTTGTTTATATCAATGGATATCTAAAGTATTACGGTAATATAAATACAGTTAAACGATGAAAATGAAGATGTAGAATCAGATGAATCAACGAATATTGACAAAGATGAAAATGTGAATGAGAATATAGAAAAACCAACTCCAATACAAACTGGTGCTAGGAAGAAAACAAAGAAGAAGAAAAAGAATGTTGCAAAAAAGAATGTACGTGGTACCAAAATATTAATTCAGACTTGAAGGTTCTCAATTATATGTCCATTATTGTTCCGTGGCACCAAATTTGTATTTACAGTTTTTATGGTTTTAAGCTAACTAGATATTGTGGTTCTGTCAAAATCCTTTGCGTTAAAATCCAAAATTTTATTCTCAATCAAGTGGAATGTCATAAAAATGCGTATTCACATGATAAGTTAATTTTGCGTGAGGGATACCAGTTCTGTCCAATTGATTTTAGCTATGTATTCACAATTTTTGAATAAGTCCCAAAGTACCCTGATTCGCAGGATAAAAAAATAGGCTGTTATGACATATGTCCACTATGGCAGCCTGAGCCGTGGAGTTTGAGAGAATTTACAATCGCATCTTACTCCGGGCGAGACAAAATTCTGACTCAAGCACCGAAGTGCAAGAAAATCAAATTTTGATGATAAACACCCAATAAGCATTATGCAAGACTTCTTCAATAGACTTTTAAGAATACTTGTAGAGTTGTGTAGGAATTTTTAACTTCTTTTATCACCACTTCATGAAATTCGGAATGTTGCTACCGACTTCGTTGAGTTAGAAAATACTGGTACCACTCACTGACAACATGCCAGACTCCCAGAGCTCACTTGCTTGGAAATCTATTATTAATCGAGTATCTGGCTAAAATTACTTTTTGTATTTTTTAGAAAAAAGACGAAGAAGAAGACATTGAAAAAGTTGTCAATGAAATTGCTCAAATGGAAAACAACAAACCAAATAGGGATTTTTCTAACCACAGTGTCCAAGTGAAAAAATATAAATATGTATTGACTGTTGAACACAGGTAATAATAATTGTTTTTCTTACTTTCGAAAAAAATTTTGTTTCAGTTTTAAACACAAATCACTAGAAAACTCCCAACCCAACTCCAGAGCCTGGTCATATCCTTCATTCACCTAATTTGGTGTTCATATTTTTTTAAAGTCATTTTCATTGGTACGTATATATTTTATTTCTTTCCTTTTTTTGACGAAGATATAAATTGGATTTCAGGTTTCTTAATCCAGATAACGAACTCAAAAGAATATTTGGTACTCGGACTCTACTGGATGATGCTAACTTCAGGCAAAGAAATCGTGTAAAGACGTTAAAAGGAACTTGGCTGACTTCACCTACTTCAAATTGGCCCAGATTAACCAAATGTGGATTGAGTATGACTTGCCTGGAAAAGTCACAGAAGTAAGATTATTGTTAAACAGGGAATTCCAGACTTTCAATAGTGATAAAAGAAGCACAGAAACTTAAAGCATTTAATTCTACTAAGTGTTCTTAGTAACAGTCTATTATTGAAGGCTCGCGTATGTGTCTCGGCAGTGTGGTGCATCATGCTAAGCGTTAGGAATACGTTGACCACTGCACTCCTGATGATTACTCTTCTCGGGTATGCATGCCGAGGAGATAATTATGTGCGAGTGGATTGCTGCACTTCTCGGTGCGTAAGGTCGGTTACAGTTTTCTCCACCATCAAGTCCGACATGGACTGGTATCCGGATGAGGCGCTGTACTTCGCAATATGATTAAGCCGTCTAATTCGCTTTCTCTTCAATTGGAATAATTATGTGAATCCTACCTATCCTTTGTCAAAGTTATTACGTTATGAAAGTGGAGAATTGTCTACTTATATATATTTATTGTATTTACAGATATCAATATTTTACGTTCGAACATAGCAAGGAATATCAAAAAGCGCAGTTTGAATTTTTAGATGCAGTCGACTCATCTGACCACAATCAAATTGCGGTAAGTAACGCAATTTTTGTATTTAAAAACAAAATAATTTTGAAAATATAAGAAATCGATTACTTTTAGCGCATTGTAGATTTGCTATCTTTATAAATGTTAAGGCATTGTATTGTACTTTCAACACATACACTTCATGATCAACATGTAGCATACCACTGCCAGGGATGGGCCAGAACTGAATAATCTAGAATAAGAATACATTCTGAAATAATCTTTACGAAATTGGAATAACGAATAAATATTCTGAAATGGGTCTGTTTCACAAGAGAAATTCTTCAAGACTATTGTAAATTCATAGAAATCAGATTTGCTTTTGCCGAATAATTGAGATAAACAGTAGTATTCCCTATTTTAATCTGTCCTCCTGAAGTATGCGCACCAAGATGGGGCACAACCTGAACTTAGGTTGTGTATAAGGTCAGACTTCAGGTTGTGTGACATCTTGGTGCGCATACTTCAGGAGTACTGTTTTTTGTCTATCATAAAATATTAAATGCTCAAAAAGACATTTTCAAATAAAAATATTTCAAATTATCCATAGATCGGTACTGTTTGGTTTGTCATTGAGCCTTGGTGTATATAAATATATTTTTTGAGCGTTAATCTCTTGTTTATTCAAGTTGCAATAATTCTGAGAAATATACTATATTCATAATCACCCTTGCAGGAAAATGTATGACTCGTTTCGTGTTTACATTCATTCCCTTTTAATTCAATGTTAGTTTCATTAGAATTAATATTATTTATTTTTATCAGGAAGTTCTCAGACTAAATAACTACCATGTCGATTCTTTGCTTGGATTGAGTGATGTTTGTAGGATGAGTGACGATACACAAATGGCAAGAGAACTTATAGGTAATTAATATAGATGGAATAGTTGTGTGGACTTCTGTGGAGAGTAGACACATCTGACTTTCTGCCAAACCCAATTCCTTACAGCTTGTTTTAGATGCAGATTGTTTTGATATAAGGTTTGAACTTCCAGAAAAAATAAGTTTCAAGTCCAAAGCTTGAAAATAAGTTGAATAATTCCAATCAATCTTTTTATTTTAGAACGTGCTCTTTATGCTTTGGAAATGAATTTTCATTCTCAATTCAACTTAGCTACAGGTACATGCAGATTACAGTATAAACGACAGGAAAACAGGTCAGTATATTTATTTTAAGATGATTTGCTGAAAAAAGGTCGTATCTAATACGCTTTCATCCTGAGGTAAAGTAATCTGGTCTCTGAACAAATTGCAGTCAGCTACCGAAATACCGGTACAAAAAATTACTGGAACTATTTAGATATTATTTGAAAACTCTCCATTAAATGCTGAATGATACAATATTTCAAGAAATACAATCTTCAGTGTTCGTTGATATTGACCAGAATAATATGAAACTTTGTCAGTTACTTCTGGTGACACAAGTGACAATTTTTGATGCATTTCAAAATTGAAAAATATTTCATGTAAAATACATTTTTTTCGATTAATTTCCTTGATTTAATAAAAATATTAATTTCAATTTAGTTTGAAAAAATTGTATTTATTTTGAACATGTTTGTGTTCAGTTTTTTTTCTTATTTCTATAAAAGCATTTTTTCAACATGCTTTGTTTTCTAACTGTATATTTTCTGTTATAAAAGCTGTCTGGTATATTTTCAGATGTCTTTTTCTTGCATTATATCGGCATCTTCATTTCGTATTTCAACGTGGATGCGGTCGCACAGCACTTGAATTATCAAAGATTCTTTTGAAGTAAGTTTTATTAAAAACAAAATTTTTTGGGAATGTATTTGGAATAATCTTGATCTTGATTTTCTATTTTAGTTTAGATTCTGATGAAGATCCACTTTGCGTCTTATTATTCATCGACTTCTTTGCTTTGCAAGCGGGAGAATATGACTTTCTTCTTCAGTTATTTTCGGAATGGGAGGTGAATTTAGTAGATTGCTTAAAAATTGAATGCGTTGTTAATGTGCTAACTAAAAAAACACAGTTTATAGTTCGTTAGAGAAAGAGAGAGAATTCTCATTCCAATCGGGGCTCTGTGACCTCGTGTTTCATTGGAGTTGGAGCCAAAGTTATATTTTTAAACTTTCGAGAGTCTGGGAGAATTTACGCTTGACTCAATGACATTTAAAATACAACAACTCTCAGCTCCAGATTGACAAAAAATTTTGACTCTAACGTCAGGCCGATGGACACAACTCTGATAAAATCAAATTTTAACCACAAAAACCTTGTATGTAAGCCTTGTTTCTTGTCTGTTGAGAAAGCTTAGCCAACTTCACAGCTTTACTGGTTTAAAAACTTTGACTTCTCTTAACACAATTAGGGGACCGAAATTCTCTCTCTGAACTTTGACTTTGGTTCAGACTCAGTCACCCCTCTGAGTGGGGCATTGCCAGGGGAGGGGGTTAAGGTCAGTCTATTTAAAGTCTAGGTTCCCCTTTGAAATGTAGAGAGAAAAAAACATAATTGTGTGTCATACATAGCATTTTTTGTAGCTTGAAATGTATATTAGACTCTCAAAAGCAAGGCTATTGAAAATTCAAGATTTCTGGCAAGGCCCATTAACTATTGCGGTCTAACTTGACAATTTGAAAATTCAGACCTCTTATTTAAAGATTCATGGCTACGCACCTGCCCTGTTCTCAGGAGTTTGAAAATACTACTCAGTGAAAACAATCTGACTCAGTACTTTGCAGCCTGTAATAAATTGAAGCTCTGTTCTTTTCAATGATATTCAACTTAGTTTCAGTTCTTCTATTTTTCATCATTCACAGAAAATTGGTTTTAAAATACAGTATCATTGCTTTCCAGGGTCATAAAAATTTGTCACAGTTGCCAAACTTTGCATACTCAGTAGCAATGGCTAATTTTGAATTATCCTCGGCCGGTAACAAGAATTTTGATATGGCTGACACTTTGGTAAGAAAGTTTTTGTGTTCCGCAAAGGCATTTTCTTAAGAATAATTTCCTAAAAGTTATCATCCAAAATATTATCACCGTCTGTTACAATTATAAGGTATTTTTAATTTTATTTCCCCATGTTTTGTTGTAAATTGTCTTTGGCTGGAAATGTAATCAAATTTGACTTGTTATTATGCAGCAGTTATTATGAAGAAAATTTAAGTTGAAAAATCATCCCTCAAATTTAAATTATCATGAAATTTATCATGACGCTTAATTTAGAACCATCGACTTGGGTTATTTATCACTCAAAGATATTTTCCATTCCATTTGTCATTAAGGAACAGGAGATATATGCATTAATATTACAATTTAAGGAAATTTCATTTCTATTACTTTACAGCTACAAGATGCTTTGATCAAGTTTCCCTCCGTAAGTTTTATTTTATATATTTCTTAACATCTTTTACAGTAGGTTTGATAATATAAGAGTTCAATAGATGCGATAATAGTGTGAAAAAGTATAAGCCAACCACTGTAAAAGAACAATTATTCTTTTAAGGTTCTGATGTTACTTTTGGAAAAATGTTCAGTACAACCAGATAAAAAAGTATCAGGTCACAGCTTTTTTACAACGGAAGCTGAACAGACGTAAGTTACGGTACAAATTTTTGGCAAGAAGGAAACTATATTGTTTCTCCCTACCAGTTATATATGGTGTACTATTTTGGGGTATATGATAGCTAATTTTTGCCTTGTCTATTATAGCATTTCTTAGTTTAAATTTTCGATTACTTCACCTGAGCTGGAACTCCTTTAGGGACATTCTTTTTACTTTTAAATTTTGAGAACACTATTATAAGCTGACAAATGACTAGTGTCTGAGCGGATACTAAAATTTCTATGTTTACGTCACCTTTGAAGTAGCCAAGCAAAGTTCATTCATTGTTTTAAGGTCTGTGAATATACGCTACTCTCATAGAATGTAAACCAAGATGGCAGACACCGGAACGTAGTATGTGTACCAGGTTATGGTTAGGCCATAATTTCAGGTACAAATACTACGGGAGTCACTTGGCTAGTCCCCGAACTCGGGATAAAACCAAAATAAAGAAAATTGCGATAAAATTATGGCCTAACCCTAACCTGGTACTACTTTCCGGTGTCTGGCATCTTGGTTCACATACTACAGGAGCGCTGAAACCAATACACAGTAAACTGAATATATTAAATTGAATCCTGGTGAGATTCATAGTAATAATTTTAATTACTGTAATTTCTATATCATTTTTCAGTTCACCAGCTGGCTTGAAATTGCTTTGTAATTTATTTGTTGCAAGAAATCATTCTTTATGGAAATCACCCGAAGTTTTCTCCTGGTTGGAAAAAAATGTTAATATTGTTCTTGACAAAGTTGATGCGAAAGATCCTGAAATTGCTAAATGGAGGCAAAGGTATTTGTTTCATTTTATTATTTTGTTATTTATTAGGACATGGGGTCATAGATGGGGTCATAAATATAGTTTAGTACGAAAGCCAATATGCCTTACTTGTTTTTTAAATTCAGTTTTTTTTCTTATACAGGAGGAAAAGATATCAGAAACCACCAAGAAATATTTATCGATATGCAATGATTTGTGAATTACCTGGAGTAATTGATCTTTTACCACCGGTATGCAAATATAGTTTTATAACGTTCTTACGTCAGAGTAATTTGTTATTTTACTAAGTTTGTGCAGGAATTTTAAAGCTTTAAAACCTTCAATATATTATTTTTGCATGGTCTACGGCTATGGGTATGAAAGGCTTTATAGTAAAAAATGCATAATGTAAAGAGAGGAGTTTACAATAGCGACTAGAGTTGTACAATTAAAATTGATTGTTCTCTAAAATCTTAAGTATATTGAGCAGGGATGGCCAGAATTGAATAATTTAGTATGAGTATGGATTCATTCTGAAGTAATGTTTTCAAACACAGAATATTCAATATAAGTTATGTTCACCAGTTCAATTTGCACAAATTATTATCATGAAGTTAAGGAAATTCAATTAAGAAATGCAGAGCAATTGGGATCAAATTATTTTGATTAATTTTCCATTTTTGCTGATAATCAAACCTTAAAATGGTGGGTATATTTTTGGTTTTACTATTATATGTCAAATTTGTTAACAAGTATTCAAATGAAAATCTGCTGAATTAATCCTAAATCGAAGATTTAGTATACAGTATTTTGATTTCGATGTAACCAATTTTGAAGTTAACCAAATACTCAATTTGTGTTGAACATTCGGGTAATGGTATGATTGAACCTGAGTGTGACCACCAAACAAAACAACTTAGGTATTTTTTATTGGCTATTAATTTCTACAATATATATATTCTATTATAGGAGATTCGTTTGGAACAGGTTTTTGGTCACGATCCATTGCCACCAGCAGATGGAATTAGATCTTATGAAAGACCAGAAAGGTAGACAGCAGTCAATTTATGATATTAATGGCCTTTGGATAACCAGAATACAATATGAAATATTTAGGTTAATATTAACCAATGCCAGTAAAAATGAAGACAGGAGAGCCGACAAATTTTTTTTAAATAAATAAAAGTAATGGCCTTTCAGTGACAAATACAATTTCTAACCACTGAAAATTTTAAAGCAATGGGTCCAGTAATTGAAGTGAAAGTGCAATTTGTTGCACCCTGGGTTAGGTGCTGTGCGCGGGTTTAAACTCTGAGTTATTTAACCTGTCATGATAGGATAGGATTTTATTTATAGTGAAAGATGCAAGCTGGTAAAAATGCTTATTAATCACAGAAAGATGATCTTTGAAGCTAGCCAGGTTAATAACCCTTCTAGCATTCAATATGCACAATATGATGCAATAGTACTCATTTTGAATAATCATAATTGATCTCATGTTGAATAATCATAACCATATCAAATTTATTACTGAATGAGCCATGGGGTTTTGAAACTGATTGATTGATCTTTGCGGAGTGGTGTACGCGACTGATCAAAATTAAATATTCATCACTTTGACTGTAATAATTTTATACTGAACCCTTCTATGTTTGCTTTTACAGGGCTCGTCGTGGAAGAACAGGAAACTCACTCGGATTGTTTCTACACTCACTCATGCCTCAATTCGATCCATCACAAGAGACTGAGGAAGAAGGAGCAGCAGCGCTACAGCCTGGTCAAGCCGGATTGCATCAACAATTCCAAGCTTTAATGGTCGCCATGAGAGATATGCTCGGAAATTTAAACCTTCAAAGAGACGATAATGAAGAGGCACAAGAGCAGGAGGAATTTTATGAGGATGAATGGGACTAAAATATCTCACAATTTTTTGCCTAATTGCACTTAGCCCCTATATATTTGGTGATAGCCAAATTCCAATCACTGGTTTTCTATATGTCTTTGTTCTTATGAGTTGATACAAGAAATAAAATTTTGCAGGGCTATAAGCAAAATTGACATGACTTGATAATGATAATGTATGTTATCTAAGTGATTGTTCTGAAGTCTGTAATTCAGAAAATGAGAAAATATACGGTTGTTTACTTTCCATTATGATTATGTTAAAAGAATCTTCACGTTTGGTGGTATATTTTAGCCCACAAAAAGCCTGTCAGTGAATACAAAGAATCAGTCAAACTCGGTTGTGTACCTATGTAAAATGGCACCCATGGCAAAGTTTAAGAATGTGCCCCTCTTGATAGTTGGTTGACAGTCTATGATGACTGTTATTGAAATGAGATATTCATTAGGTACTTTATGATTTGAGTAAAAATAGGAGGTTGGGTCATTTTCAATTTAAATAATTTTATTGAAATATTTTAAGATTAAAACTTCTTGCCGTTTATGCAGCCCTGTTCAAACGGTGCACATGGCAAGAGCCATGGCTGCCACACCCCAGATGCGCCACTGGTTACCATCAACATTGACTAATTACATTGACTATTTACAACACATGCAACTCAGTAATTGTATGGATTATTGCCAAATCCAACATTTTTTTCCTGCTTTATGTTGTATATAAATATCTCGACTGTGAATTTGTGTGATTTGGTGCAGTAGAAATTAATTTTAATGAGGTTTGTGCAATAAATTGTGAGTGCTTTATTTCCACGGCTTCCCAACAAATTTATTTGTACAACAGAATTGATACATAATGTGAACTTCCTCATGAGCAGTTTTGCGTGTGCAAGCATCTATCTACTATTTGGTGAAAAACAGGTGTGGGTAATCTGCAGCAAGCGTGACAATTTGCAGGGGTATGCCGGGAATCTGCCTTGCCATTTTTGCAAGTTACAGGGAAATGCTATTTAAACAATTTATGACCGATGGATTTGAACAGTAATGAAGTTGGTAATATGCTATTTAAACGTTTAACGACTGACAATTATATTTCTGACGTATCCAAAACAGATTGCAGAGATATCTGGGAGATGGACACACATGAAGTTTCTTTCAAAAAAATAACACCTGGGCCTATTTTGGGGGATGTCTTTTATTATGATTTTAAAAAAAAAAATTTACGATGTCGAGAATTAAGAGATTTTCGAATGAACAGAATGTGAAAACGAATATCCATTTACTATCTCACTTTCTCTCTCACGCGTTCTAAAATTTAGATTTTAATCAAATTCAAGACGTGTAAGACAGATTTCTTGCTATCGACTAGGCCAGGGTGGTCCAAACCCAGGCCCGCTGGCCAAATGTGGCCGCAGTTATTTAGAGTTATTTTGGAAACATTTTTGAAGAGAAAGCTGACCTATTCAAACAGATTCAAAGGCCCGCGAACAATACAAAAATAATAGTGTGGCCCGCGAGACCAACAACTTTGAACCACCCTGGACTAGGCCAAAAAATAATTCTTTAGTTGGATTGTCAATTGTTTCTAATTTTTGTTTCCAAGTCTACTAACCGAGTTTTTTGCTATATTGGGCGCCATCTCAGAGCTGCCGACACGTTCATCCCGCACCACGTCCTATCCTATCAACGTGTGGGGTTGTGGTGTTTGAATTTTTTTTACGATTCTTATTATTGACAGTTGTACCAGAAGTCGGAATGTTAAAATGCATTATGAGGATAGCCTACGGTATATGGTAGGATACCGGTAATGGTGTACGTACTTAATCTTTTACAGTTTATCTTTTTTTGCGGGAAAATCAAAAAATACAGAAATATAGCTCTACTTACTGACTTGCCGTACGTAAGCGCTGTCAGGCTGTCGTCGGGTCGTTAAATATAAACGGATAATTCATTCAGTCAAGCATCCACTGGGCACGTGGGATTTTTGTCTGTCTACCTAATTTGGATACCGGTAGGTTATGAATCCACAACGTGGACCTTTAAAAAAAAAAAAATTTGGATACCGGTATGTCTTATTGTCCACTCGTCTATTAAAAATTAATTCTGTAATAACCTTTGTCACCGCAGTGATTTATCGTACCGTCAGACCGTACGGTAGTCTACCTACAGGTCAGTGTTATATCAAGTTGGGGACGTTGACTTTGATGACCGTCTGGTCATATCACTCCCTCCCTTCCTATACGGTACCAAACTAATTTATTACTTGTTGTGAGTGTTGAGGGTGACTGTTATTTTATTTTGGTTGTCGAAAAAATAAATCTCTCTCTCTCAAGTACCGTAGCCTACAGTACTGTACCGGTACCAGGTCTGCAGGTTGTCGAATGATAAACTCCGTAAAATGAGCGAGACACTTGGAGCTGCACTTGCAAACTTGTTGGGCTCAGAATGTATAGACCAGTAGACTGATAGTGTATACTTATAGTAGCTGACATGGGCAAACTACGGCCCGCAGGCCAAATCCGTTCCGTTGGGTAATTCAATCTGACCCGCTGATGCTGCCACAAACTAAAACCAAAGTTCGATGTTCAAGCTAAAAAATGGCTCAAGGAATTTGTTGAAATTGCGAATAAATTTAGTTTTGGCACAAGGCTTATTGTTTTTTGCTTTTGTAACATTGTACAGTTGTAAATATCGTTCATAAAATGTAACTTTTGTGTCACACTTACATGGCCCGCCATTCTAGATGAAAAACATTTTTGGCCCCAAGTCTAAAAACTTTGCCCACCCCACCCTGGAAAGTATTCCAAATCTGCAAATACAAAGTATAGGTTTATTTTGACTCCATAACCAGCAGGCGATAAAATAATTGATCAAAACAAATCAACTGATATATTATATATATAAATAATTGTTTTTAAAGCATTTATACTGACAGACTGAGTTTTACTGTGGATAAGTAATATATTTTCTATTTCTGTATTTTCTGACTTTTTAAATAGATATCCCTATAATTCCTATTTGTAGTTTGCTTGGCCAACTGAACATAAAGATAATGCAGAATTGTGGGAAACTTGCAGGATATACTGTCTTCATCACTGGAGCTAGTCGAGGTATCGGTAAAGCCGTTGCACTGAAAGTGGCTCGTGATGGGGCAAACGTAGTTGTTGCAGCAAAAACTTCTGACCCACATCCCAAATTACCTGGCACAGTACATACAGCAGTCGAAGAAATAACACAAGCTGGGGGAAAAGGGCTGGCTTGTATCGTAGATGTTAGAAAAGAAGAAGAAGTCCAAGCTGCTATTGATAAAACAGTTGAAACCTTTGGAGGAATTGATATTCTGATTAATAATGCTAGTGCTATTAGTCTCACTGATACCAAGAATACTACAATGAAGACTTATGATCTGATGAATCAAGTAAATGCACGTGGGACCTATCTTTGCTCAAAATTATGCATTCCTCATTTGCTGAAGTCCAGAGAAGCAGGCAGGAATGCTCATATTTTAAATATGAGTCCTCCGCTAAATATGTCACCGAAATGGTTTGCAAGTCATGGTGCGTACTCCATAGCAAAATATGGAATGTCAATGTGTACGCTTGGAATGGCACAAGAATTTGCGGAAGAGGGAATAGCTGTAAATTCACTTTGGCCGAGAACAACTGTCATAACTGCTGCAGTAGAAATGATAACAGGAGGAAATAAAATGGCAGCTGCAATGTCTAGGTAATTGCTCAGCAATATTTTTGAAATTTTTTAATTTGAAATGCTTCATTCAGTTATATAATCAACAATCTTTTTTGACCTTAACTGTTTTTCATCACATTTAACTTTTTATAATCTACATAGTCCACATGAGATGGGAAAACTTGTGGTTGGCCATCTGGTAGAGTTGCATGTCTCTGCAATATAATCTCTAGCGAGCAATTGCTCTCCACAGTAACAGTTCTGAAAAAAATTAATTTTCTGTTCAATTTCGATTACCTAGATATTAGAACCCTAAGTGTCGCTGCTTGATAATTACTGTAGCTTCAGTTTCTCACTTCTTCCCTTCCCAGTAAAATTGCGCATTCAGTTTATTGTTGTCATTTTGTATGCCATGGCTATCATTACTTATCGATTTTAATCGGTAAGTATGTTGATAGGTATTTGTCTGTTTGTCTGTCTGTTAGATGCACGCGATATCTCACGAAAGCGAGATTGGATCTGCTGCAAATTTCGCATGCGCATTCAGCATATCTCGTACCAGAAGCCTATTGATTTTGGTCGTATAATTAGCGAGTTATCAATTAATTAGTGATGGGACACAAGGTGTCACTATGGAGTAAGAGCGCTGTTTTGGGGGATCCCCTAACTTTCGATCGATAAGTCTTCGGTCTCTGACCAATATTCTCGTTTTTAATTTTACCGGCTGGAAAAAACATGACTGTCAGTCTGTCACTATTAATAATGGTCATATCTGTGAAAACTTGAAGGCATGTCTGAAGCCGTACTGATGAACATAAAGGCAGGTTACCATAACAAATATTTTATCTGTCCACAATCTCCTAGCAATCTTCATCTTCTTAAAATCCCAAATATATGCTCAAATAATAATTATACACCCATTTTGATCAAAATATGAAACTTGATAATATCTATAATTTCAGATAACCCGATATCATGGGAGATGCAAGTTATGCAATTTTGTTGCGGGATTGCACAAAATGTACCGGTAACTTCTTCATTGATGATGAAGTATTGACGGAAGAAGGTATCACAGATATGGATCAGTATGCTGTTGATCCAACTCAAAAATTGGTTGATATTGTCAATCCAGGATCATTATGGAGTGCGGTCGTGGGTGCTTTCAACAGTAGCAAATCAAAACTCTAAAATTAATTGTTCTTCTGTAATTGTGCAATATGTAAGGAATTATTTTGCTGGAAAGTTAAAAATTATGCAAATAAATAAAATTTGGGCCTGGTCTTTAGTACCAAACAGTCCATAATCCATGGTACATATGTAGCCCCCCCCCCCCCCCTTATCATAAAATAGCTAGTTTTGCTTTAAAAGCGTTTCCATGAGCGCCATGTCTGATAATAAAGAAAGCCAGCAAACTGAGGCAAAAGAATTAATGCATTACAGCATTAGACAAATAATAGTCAATTCATATCAAATTAATGTAATCATTGGGAATGGTACTTGGTGAATGCCCTAATTGATTCTTTCTGTGCCCCTTCCTCCCTAATGGGATTGAGTTTGAGTAACCCATCTCTAGTCTCTTCATTACTAAACATCGAATGGTGCCACTATATTTTTTATGACTGATAATGTTGGTCTAATAATATGCAAGATTTGTGTTTTCCCAATTATTGATTTTTATAGAGACTACTTTAGTTTTATTATAGCTATAGAAGTTTGGTGCATAACTTGATTGTCATCCTGTATGCTCATAAAGTATTATTATTTAACAGATGTATAATATTAATTTTGAAAATTGTGTCATAAGATTTATTGGACCTCCTGGAGTATGCGTACCAAGATGGCGCACAACCTGAACTCAGGTTGTGTACCAGGTTAGGGTTCAGGTTATAAGACATCTTGGTGCCCATACTTCAGGAGCACCGATTTATTGATATCTCTTTATCTAACCTTATTTTCATTAGTGATGATTCATCATTGATTAATCAGCATATAAGATTTCATAGATTATTGTATTAAACCATGCATTTGAATTTTGAATTCCTAATCAGCATTGAACCAATGGCCTCATCTCATGTATTTTATAGATTTATATTGGTTACCAATTCAGATTTCATGAGGTATATTTGCTTGTATTTGTATTGTATTTGGTGCGCTTCTGTGATTTATCACCTCTTGAAGCCTTTGATTGTGTAGTTTTCCTTTATCCCTCAATGCTCTCCATTATCCTGTTCAAAAGTGTTTCAATGTGAAATGGTCTAATGTCGATAAAATTATATAGAACATTTCAAGTTGTACAGGGCCTATCAGAGAAAAAGGTGTAAATAAGCATCATTTAAAATAAATAAAGTTTAATTACTCAAGTTTATATTTCTTAATATAGGATAGAAATTAGGCATGTCTATGAAAAGAAAAAGGTTAGATGGATCAATAAAACTCAATTCAACTATTGAAAAAGTTTTTCGAAAATATGGTGAATCTGATGATACCAGTACTGGATTGGTAAATCGTGATCCAATTAACGTAGGACGAAAACAAAAAAGAAGAGACAAAAAACGTCACAAGAAGGAAAATAAACTAAAACATTTCCAATTTCTATCAAAAAATAAATCAAATACTGAACAAAATAATCAAAAATTGACTCTTGAATCGACAATAAAATCAAACGAAACTAACAAACCTGTAAAATCAAACGAAACTAACAAACCTGAAAAGAAAAAAAGGAAAATTGAAACTGAGAAAACACGACAAAAAAAATCACTTGCAAGGGACAATGCTGCTGATGATAAAGTAATTACTTCTCTGGAGAAAAAATTGTATCTAAATAAACGAAAAAATACAAAAAAGCTGCCGAAATCTTTCACTGACGCTGGTTTGGACTATATCTTAGGTGCTCTCGACAATGGGGGGGAAAATTCTGAAGATGAAATGATAGCGGAGGAAGAGGATGACTTTTTTACTGATGAAATCAATAACAATGAACAAGAAATGAATTTATGTGATCAGGAAAATGAAGATTCAGACTTGGAAAAAGATGATAATTCTCAATTAGAGGAGGCAGAATCTGAAAAAAAATTGGAAAAAGATGATGAATCTCAGCCGGAAGAGGCGGAATTTGATGAAACTTTAGAGGAATCTGATAACGATAATTCACAAGATGATTTTAATATGATTGCTGAAGATTCTGAAACCACCAACACAGGAAAGTACATTCCTCCTGCAATGCGTGTCAAACTTTCTCAAGAACAAGAACAAAATATACAAAAACTAAAAAGAAAAGTTAAAGGTTTATTTAATAGGCTCAGTGATGCAAACATGAGCAATATATGCAATGATATTGAAATGCTATTTAGAGAAGGAAGTAGAGCCATTATGTATAAAGTTTTGACTGACGTGGTCATGGATCAATTTAGTGCGGCCGATCCTGTACCTGACAGTTTAATCAATGAAACTGCCATGTTGGTGTCGATCATAAGTACAAGAGTGGGAATTGAAGCCCTAATGCATTTCTATGAAACAACATCTACAAAGCTCAATTCGATCATACTTGCAAAAGGTGATTTTTTTATTGTTTCTATTTTGTTTTCACATTCTACACACCTGGATCGTATGTGGGAGAGCTGTCATCAAGTAAACTCTTAATCAACCACAAAGAGAACATTTCACTGTTCTATAATAATTCGTGATCCTCAAAATTCAGCGAAGTTTATATATTGTGATATGTAATAACCTGGCGTGTTTCCAGGAAAAGAAAAAGTCAATAACACAATTCAATCATATGGTAGAACAAACAGGTATTTGTTTCAGATACACTGACTTGATGGTGGTAGACCAGTGGTTAGGTGAAGTTCTGAGATGACGAGGGATCCAATAATCTTATCGCACATAATTATGCCCCATAAGTTTTGGACCTGCGAACCCACGCAGGGTAATAAGAGATAGGATGACAAGTGTGTTCCTAATGCTTTTCACGATGGGGACTGGAGGTAATTTGGTTGCCTTTTTTATGCCTTTTTTAATCAAACTTTGTTTCAGATAATGTCCATGGAAAAGCTGCAAATAATTTGCTCAAAGTCTTGGGATGTTTATATCAATTAAAAAGAATAGACTGCAAGGTTATTCTTGACATCTTTCGAATATTAATTTCATCATTTACGGAAAAGGACATGGAACTTGTACTTGATATATTGAACAAAGTTGGATTTCAACTCCGAAAAGACGACCCGGAATCGTTGAAAGATATAATCAAGGCAATTAACTCAAAATGTGAAGGTATTGTAGCCATGGTTATTTCTCCTTTTGCTTATTTCTCCCTCAAATGGATACAATCGCTGTTAAAGTTTGTCTTTGAATTTTTAATTATGGATCATCAACTAGTAATACGTGCAACTCATGCTTTAAATTTTGTACACTTTGATTAGTTTATAAATTGCTGCACTTGATAATACTGCTGAGTTATTATGCACCTACATCGCGTGAAAGAATTTTTTTACGATCCAATCTTCAATCCAAATTCGAACAAATTCCCATTCAGGTAAGTTGCACATTATTGCACTATTTTTTACAGAATTGAATGTGTCCATGGATGATGGTTCAAGAATGTCCTTTATGTTAAACATATTGATGGCTGTCAAAAACAACAATATCAGAAAAGTCACAGGTTGCTCATTAAATATTATTGTTTGTTTAATTTTTCACACTGATAAGACGGATGCCTGCACTATTAATCAAGTATGATGTGTGATTAGTGTGGCAACTAATTTTTTTCGAAACAATGCTTGGAATTGAAACATTGATGGTTGAAAATTTATCATGTTCACTCTAAAACCGTATTTTCAATTCCCATCCCATTCAGTTCTCTTTTCATATTTGATCACAACAAGGTAGTATTCATATATATATTTATCTGTGGGATTAATAATAATATGAGCATAGCTTACCCAATTCATTGTGTGTCATTACTTAAGTTATAGTCTTTAAAAACGTAGTGGCTTGTGTTAAAGTCTATGTGCTTTGTTTAGAGTAAATGTTAGGCAATAACGAAGTTTGTCTTGTAGGTTTTGACCCCGATGCAGTTTCTAAGATGAGAAAGAAGTTTGCTGCACTGACGAGAAATTCAACTGGAGATTCCAGTTCTGATACTGTACCCCCAGTTAAGTTACAGGTCAGTCATCACTTCATATGTATAGGATATATCTATGAAAATGATTTTATGATATTTGTTACGTCTTTAATTCTATGTATCGCTTGAAGTGATAATATTTAATGTTGATGCTGATGAATCGATGCTCCAGAAGTATGCGCACCAAGATGTCGCACAACCTGAATCCTAACCAGTTGTGCGCCATCTTGGTGCGCATACTTCTGGAAGTCCGATGAATCAATATGCAGAAAAGTGTTTAGTGTTTAGTATCACTGCTGGTTAGTTGAGCATGAGTTTTTGAGTCAGTACCACTCGAGTTTAGGTGATGACTCAGGCCTCCTCAATCAAACAATGGGTCATTCGAGCCGAGTCAAGCACTGAACTAAGTCTCATTGGTGTTTATTTGAGTATGAGTTTGCGGCATTTTGTTTAGATGACTAGGGTCACTCAAGTTAAGTCAATGATTCTGGCCTTCCCAATCGAACCTTGTTTAGTATGTAATTTAAAAGGGAAGATTTTCCCTAAATGAGCATCCCTAACCAAAATATGCTACAAGCAGCCCAAAATCTCTATTTTTTTTTCTTGTATTTTTTCTCATAGCACGGCAAATAAATGAAGGTACTATTAAGCTAACTGTTCACCTAATTCAAAATTGAAACTTATTGCTCATAATTGTGGTTAACTAAAAATATATTTGTTAAATTTTTTCCATTGTTATTGTTTCTAGTTTATAAATTTATAATCATACTTATTTCAGGATTTTCTAGATGCTGAAACCAATGGTAGATGGTGGATTGTGGGCAGCTCCTTTGCTGGTAGACCAATGTTAGATAAAACAGGAAACAAGCAAAATGAAAATGAAATAAAAATTGATTTTTCTGTATCTAAAAATATTGCCGATGCTGCAAAAAGACAAAGAATGAATACTGACGTTCGTAGAAATATATTTTATGCCGTTATGACTGCGGATGATTTTGTCGATGCCTATGAAAAAGTCTTGAAATGTGGATTAAAGGTGAGTAAATGGAATTTGATTATGGGTTATTGGCAGAATGAATTTTCATAAATAAAATGATTAATCTACGCTTTTTATGACAAGATTTGTGAATTCCTCCACCCAAAATACTACTCTATCAGACTATTCTGGTAGTTTTCATTTCATTATTACCGGTAACTGTAGCAGACTGAACAAGTCAGTGTATTATATGAAATATAATACGGAAAGTAGTACAGTATCTGTTAAAGTCCAAATCGAGTCTGTTTCCACTTTTGATCTATTTTATTTCTTACATTTTCAGGGTAAACAATTGAGAGAGATACCAAATGTAATCGTCGACTGTTGCCAACAAGAAAAATTATTCAATCCTTATTATCTTCATTTACTTGACAGATTTTGCCAAAATGATCGGTAGGTTGGTATTAACCGCATGTGAAGATGATTTTAACGAGAAAGCGCTGCGTTTTATGTGCATGGGTCAGAAACATGCTCATGGTCACACCCCTTCTCAACCTACTTAGGTTCAAATTCTGTGGGAATAATTATGTGCAAGAGTATTGCTGCACTCCTCATTTTTGTAGAGTGGCTATCATAACTGCTGGTTGGTTACGACTTCCTCCACCATCAAAACCACTCAAGTGAAACAAATTAGATATTCTAATACCTGACACGTACTGGTAACTTAATGGGAAGCTGTGTTACTGTGGTTTGGACACTATGGTTGATTTATACTGGTGAATTTGTGTTTTCATACCTGAGTATCATGGTCGATTCGTATAATATTTAATGCCTACAGTTGTACTATTGACGGTCAAATTTACACACCATTTTTTGATTACTCTAATAATGGGTGCGTTGTGAAGGGAGCTCCATTCCCCCTTCCGCCCCATCTATTTTTTCCGTGAGTCTTTACTTTTTGAATGAAAGTCTTTACTTTTCCAGTCAATTTGGGATCAGTTTACAATGCACTTTCTGGGATAAATTCAAGGCAATTGATTCTCTCAAACAAAGTCAGATGAACAATATCGTTGAGTTATTATCTCGACTTATAATCATGGAAACACTAAGCTTATCTTGTTTGAAGGTATGTACAAAATTATCGATTTTGATACCTTGTGTTTTTGAGAGAATGATTTAAACTCTTTCCATCATCGGTTATTGATAAAATAGCTTGTGGCGGCCTTTGAATATCCTTTAAGGTCGTCGTAAACAAAGCCTATTTCTTATCATTCGATCCCCTTAAAGGCCTGGTGGTTAAAGTGTTAGACTTGACTGTGTTTCTATGCAATACCACACATTTGGTTTAAAATTCCATACCCACAGGTGTAATAATAATAATACCGAGTTGTAATAATAATAATTGTGTAGGCAACCAGAACGGTTTGGTTGCCGATTCCAAAAATAGTACCATATGGGTTTCAGTGGGGCTTGCTCAAAGGGAATAAGCATCTCATAACATTTTGTTTTCGCGAATTTGAATGAAACAATATTGCTTATTGTATTGGCTTATTGAAACAGGTGTTCCACCCTAACTGGGATTTACTGTTGTAGTTTGGGGTTCATGTTCTTATTTTTAATCAGAACCACCATGTGAGAATTTTTTCACTTGTATGCATATAACAATTGCATTTTTTTTATTACTGACCTTATAGATATATTTCTCAATGTTCTATATGAGTATATATGCAACCTGATTTCTTCATAATTTTCAGGCGATAGATTTCACAGAAATAGACAAACCTATGATCAGATTCCTTAGGCTGTTTCTTTGTTTGGTGGCGGAGAAAGCTTCGAGCGAGGATCATTTGAAAACTATTTTTGAAAAGCTGAGAACGTCAAAGAATAAACTTGTCAAACAAGGAGTTAATTTATTTCTACAATATTTTATGCTTTCTGATGGACAGTTTATGACCGAACATTCTTCACTTAATGAACGTTTTCAAATCATGTTATCTTCTTTAGGAAAATCGCATCAAACATTTTTATGATATTGGTTAGTTACTCTTGGATTTTGCATATTGCCTTTAGGTTACAATTGGACCTCCTGAAGTATGCGCACCAAGATGGCGCACAACCTGAACTCAGGTTGTGTACCAGGTTAGGATTCAGGTTGTGCGATATTCTGGTGCGCATCTTTCAGGAGTACCTTACAATTTTTACTGGTGATGTTGAATGTGTATGTAATCATGCGTCAAGAATTTTTGTTTGTATTGATATTTTTAGTCACTACAATTCTGTTATAATTTTGAATCTATTCACTAGTTAAGATATGTATTTGCCAATATCATTTTGCACAATCAATCCCATGTTAAGCAAAGTTAGTTACAATTGACAAGAAAAGATAACAGCTTCGATAATTTCTAAAAATTGGAGAACAGCCAAAAAGCTTCATTTTGCTTGGTACTATGTCTATGTGGTACTATATACTTATCTGTTCTTCTAAATTTAAGTTTGAAACTTTTTTGCTTATAACAGTTGTTTACTAAAACTATATATTACTTAGTCTGAATCAATCAAATGGATTTCAAATTCAATTTCGATGTCGGCGATAATGACACAAAGCAAAAGGATCCTCTGGATGTTGATAAAGACAAAACCATAATATCAAATGATTGCACATCGATAAAGTTCCCATTAAAATCGAACAACGTTTTAGAGGTTTCGGACATTGCCAAATCCTGGTTAAGTAAACCAGATGAAAATCTGTATGAAGTGGATACATTGGAAGTGGGGTATGCAATTTCACTTCAAATTGTGACCCCATGTGATTTGACAGATCAAGATGAAAGTGAAAAAGATCGTAGTGGGACTACACCATCGGATTTAATACCTAATGTTTATGAAGGTGGTTTCAAGGTTTGGGAATGCACCCTTGACGTTTTGGAGTACCTATCTCGTCATGCAGAGGAAAATATTCTTAAAGGGAAAAGGGTTATGGATCTTGGCTGTGGTGTGGGAGTTTTAGGAACATACGCTATATGTAGGGCACAAGCCGGCTTTGTAACATTTCAAGACTTTAACAAAGACGTAATAACAGATGCAACAGGTCCAACATCATTACTAAATTTTAAAATTAGTCATAATTTGGATGGAATCTCAACATGCCAGGAGACAGGATTTCAAACCAAAGATTCTCGCAAATCGGATGATTCAGAGTCTGCGAATGAAGAGATTCTTTCTAAAGCAACAGATTCATTGTTAAGTGACTTATGGAAAGATTGCAAATTTTTATCATCTTGCAAAAAAAGGGTTAATTTTATGTTTGGTGACTGGTCCGATCTCATAGACTGTTCAAATAATAATAAGTATGATGTTATTTTGTCATCTGAAACGATTTATAATACATCTTACTATAGCAAGTTACATTCGTTTTTAGAAAAATTTCTGAAAACTGATGGAGTGATTTATATGGGTTCAAAATCACATTATTTCGGAGTTGGTGGGGGTGTACTTGCCTGGACTGAATTTGTTAGAAGTCGTGATGTTTTCGAAATGAGAACAGTGCATGTTATTGAAGCTAACTTAAAAAGAGTTGTACTTTGTATGAAATTTAAATCTGAGAATAAAATATGATAAAACTCGTATGACTATTTTTGGTAGTCTGTCTGTTTTAGGATAGGATTTACATATTTATTCCGAGGAGAGCCGATAAGACGGCTCAACCATGTGGCGAACCACGGCTTCTCGTACGGCCGCCATTCCATGTCGGATATGGGATTAGTTAGTTGTTTGTTTTCGGAAGCATGGACTTGATGTGGAGGGAGCCTTAACCGGACCAGCGGTAACGTGAACCACCCTACGGCGGCGAGGAGTCCAGCAATATTCTAGCACATAACTACCCCAGCATGGGATGCGAACCCACGCAGAGTAATCAGAGGTGCGATGGCGAGCGTATTCCTAACGATGCCGAACAATCTTCCGTGTTATTATGAACTTTATTAAACTGGAGCTAAAGATATGATTTCGGGACAAATCTCCACAAAACAGTTTTTGGCCATATGCTAAACTCGAGTTGTCCAGCAATTTGACACACTCGAGGCCTCCTTTTCCATTCTCATAAAAACTCGTCTGTGATAAAAAGATCGTTCATTTCATTGCTTTGTTGCTATAATCAAAGATAAAATTGTTGATAATCCAACATAGATAAAAAATGATAACCCTGCAAACAATTCAAAATCGTGGTACCATATTATTAGAGGAACGTTTAAAATGGAAGATTTATATTTCAGCGCAAAAGTGACTCGCGATAATTAAAACGTACTTGTTAAGTCAAGCAGAAGTAAACGAAAAATAACAATAATATGATGTCAAAATGGAGAGTTGCATAGGCTTGATTTGAGTTATAATTATTTTGTTAACCATCATTCATACCAAGCAATCAAAGGTATACAGAAATTAAAACTAGATCAATTTAAATATAACTATAAAAGTATACAACATTTTCAGTCAAACCTAAGTGGTACCGATAATATTTACGGCTTTTCATTATCATAGGTTTATTCGGCAGTTGGTATAATTAATTTAACCACACATATAGTTTTTTCCTGTTTATCAAAATGCGCCAAGTTTACAACAATTAAAACAAAAAATAAATTCGATCACAAGGAAATTTTAGTTCAATCAGGAAAGCCAGAAAATAATATACACTTCTAAAATCATATTCGGATCCTTTCAATATTTTACAAATTTGATTCATCAAATGCATAGAATTAAAATAAACTAGACACAAAAATCGATTATGTCCTCAAACCAAACTCAGAACAGAAACGCAAAATAACGAAGGCTGGATCTCGGAAGAAGCTAACGGGAGCCTAACGACCTTATTCGCTCTGATCATCAAGTTTACCCCTATAAGTAATTAACCAAACCAGTGCCAGTCAAGATCCTATTGTTTATTGCTTCACTGGCCAGCAACGGTCGTCAAGGAAAAGCTAGTTTGGGTATACCTTCGTTCCAGAAATACATTCTGTTACTTTGAAAATTATCCTTGGATATAGTGATGCCCTTGTTTATGACTGCGTATCTTGGGTACTGCGGCCAGCCAAGTTCTTCCGGCGGAGATCTGGGTTAAAAAAGCAAAAATTGAAAATTCACTTAAACGCACTGAAACATAAAGGTGTCAAATGATTGAATAGGATAAATAAAAATAAATATCTAAATGGAACAAAATGAACCCCTTGAGTGGCTGCTTGTTTTGTGCCTCCATTTTAGCGACTGTGTAAAAATTTTGACGGAAATTTTGTCATAAATCAATCTGCACGTCGTGAGCATTCATAACGTTTCACCCATCGTTAATTAAAACTTGAATTTTCGGAATCATTGACAGTGCCACTACAGTGTTGTGTAAACGTCCCCAGTCGCGAGTCACGGATCGAGTCGATAACTGAAGTAAGTCTAATTGATGACAGTCATTACATTTAGATCACTCGAGTCAGACAAATGGTGGATCGAGGAGTCTAACTTGTGTCGAGTCGATAACTTCATCCTACCCAGAACCGGACTGCCACATTCGGCATGCGTTTATTTGAGATACATTATCGTAAAATCATCTGGTAACAATTTGACAAATTCTTATCAATTCTACTGTAATACTACTTACCCAGTTTTTGCAAAGTGAGCAATTAAATGCATAAACTTCTTGCTTATCTCCTTATCAATATCAGAAAAATACAATGCAGGATTATCTCCACCTGCCAATTCTCGTACGAAAGGCAGTCCGAACATGTAGGGAAAATCGTCAGCATGATCTGCTGTGTCAAACTTATACAACCGCGGGAAATCTTTGGGTCTGGCGTCGTACATTGCTGGTTTTAAGGTAAATTCGAAGAAGTATGCCCTTTGACCCGACTCTGAAATTAATAACGGTCGTATATTGTTGTTTGTAATTTCAACAAAAAAATCTATTTAATCTACAGGAAATAAGGTATTACAGTAAGTTTCAAGCAAGGACTGCGTAAACGCTCGGTCCCCCTAAAGCGGTTTCCAAAGTTGATTGAACGGATGCCAAAATTACCGGAAGGATATTCGCAGGCCAAGAGAAGGGTGCTTCGGAAAGAAGCCGATACCGGTACGTATACTCAAGATGCCAGTATAATTGAATTGTTACGATTATACACGTGCTTGAACTGTGATAACGATTAGCGGTATCCAGAACGTTACACTATTTCACTTGGGTTCGACGGGTTATATTAAAGTGTTACGCGGGCCGTATTTGGCCCGTGAGGCGCGGTTTGGGAACCACTGTCCTACAGGGTCATGAATTGTTCGGCAGAGGCCTTCACTTGATGCCATTCGCGATGACTATGCCAATTTAAAGTAAATTGTCTCCAATTTGCTTATTTTTTTAACTGCAATGCATATATTTTTTTACTTCCATGTTCCATTTTTTATATTAAATATGGCGCACAAGGCACTTTTGAATTTGATAACACCTCAAGTTTATAAAAAATGTACCTTTTACTTTTTCTGCGAACCTTGCAGATTTCGAAACGAACCAACAATCCGCTATTGCTTCCATAGTTCCTTTATAAAGTTTCATTCCCTTGTTCCCGACTTTCTTTGGATCGAGATATTTCTGTGTAACAGCCTTTAAAATGGCATCAACATTTCCACTCTGATAACGATCGTGGAATAAATTTCGAAGAGCACTTTCGGCTTCGGATCTTGTTAGATCAGGCCCTGAAATTTCATAAATGAATCCTGTGTTACAGCAAATATTGAAAATTAACGAATATTCTGAATTCAACAAAAAGGTTTGTGGACAATCATTCATATCGTATTTCTATATCTTCAATTCTAAATTATCTATGATCAAAATCAAATTAAAGGAACTTGACAATGAAAACGGACGTATTAATCGCCATGAACGAATGAGCCATAGTTGAGACACACATACTATATAGTATACTGTGCTTAAAACAAGATAGCTTGAATAAAACATTGCATAGATGGTCTCACCCTTTAAATAAATATTAGAAAATACGCGCCGAGATAATAAGTAGTTTTGCTCTCCATTCATAACGCCCATCATCACTGGTACAGAGGACACAAATGTTTTTGTTTCGATGGCTTCGTTTATCGGAACTGGAAATAAATCTCGGTCTTCTAGCATCTTGAAATTCTAAAATAGTTGAAGCCAGTGGTGAAAAACTAAATCTTCTAGCGTTTAAGAGATAAGCAGACCTTTTTCAGCAAACATCAAATCTTTGCTACGAAAAATTGAAGTAACATTATCATAGGCTCATAAAGTTAAAACGTACCTAATTATCGTTTAAATTAAATTAAAAATACGTAACTAGGAAATGAGTGAATACATATGGATCCCATTTAAAAGAGATCCCATGATGGTTGGGTGTAAAAACGTTAGCAGACATCAGCCATAATTTCACTTCACTTTAATGAAACTTTAATTTTATCAACGATGCTTTCGGTAGTATTCATGTTTACATTACGTTAGGGTAAGTTAAACAGAAACGTTTTACTTTCACATATATCGCTTATTGCTAAGGCTCCACATTTGACATTGTACATACGGCATGAAATGTTCATCAATTCTAATTCATCATTGGGACAAGACCGGTGTGAGACCGTTTTACTTACAATGTTCATATCTTTGACTAACTTCATAATTCTGGAAGTTGAGATTTTGTTTCTCAGGCAAGTACTGGTGTACGCGTTGTCGTCAAATTTGCAGCTCACGTTCTTTGCCATTCTAGATAAAATGTGTTTCAATTACTTTGTGCAATTAATTATTATCAATCGGTAACTGATCATTTTGGTAATTGGTAATTTTCTTACTAAGTACTTTTTAATAATAGAGATAAGTTCTAAGCGATTTTAATAATAAGTAGAGAAGTACGCGGTTCTCTTCAACATTAATAACATTTATGAATTTAATTCTTGAATTCATAATATCACTTCCAATTCATCGACTTCACCCTCCACACATTTATACAGCTGATAGTTGTGGAAAATTGTAGTTTATACTTATTAAGAAAGATATTTCAAGCACAGATTTTAGATTTATAAAAACTGCTTATTTTATCATTGATAGTATATTATTTACACGGGTCTCAATCTATTTCAAAAGCTTTTTCTCTTTTATGTGTTTGTTGAACCGAAACTTATTCGACCATTATTAAATCACAGGTTTCCAAAAATGTCTTTGTATGGATCCGACTTCAGATGAATACTCTAATCTTCTGATTTTTTTTTATACCTATACTCAACCCGAACATGGCATGACAACCTACTTTAACTATTTGCCCCACAGAATATATATCATTTCTAATTCATGAGAGTGGGCCTACCAAAAATGAAAGTGGTACACGACATACCTGAGGCATCGTTTAATAACACCATTATGCATGCCGTACACCTCATATTCGTACACTTGAGGTGGTTTTTAATCCGTTAGTATTTAAATTTTATAAAAAGTGCAATACCTCTCAATTGCATCTCCGTATGTTTTTGGCCAAACCATGGAATTAGGAGCACCACTTGTAGCGAAAACACGATGAAACAATCCTTTGCTTTCCGGAATGAGAGTATGTGCTGTTGCAGCAACAGCTCCAGCTGACTCGCCCATCAGCGTGACTAGATCAGGATTTCCACCAAATGCCTCAATATTTTTTCTATAATAGAAACAGATTGTAAAATGTTTCTTTTACTGTGGTTATTTTATGCCACTAGATTTATGAATGTTTTGGAATACTCCAATGGGAATGAAATATACATTAGCATTCGACAAATTTTCACGTAAATATCTGTTTAGTCAAGACGACATCGATTCTAATTGTCTATAGGCGAGACAATTAATGAACAATAACACCGGACTATACCGAGGATTTGATGACTTTCTTTATTTCAAATCGTCTGATAAATGATACATACCGAACCCATTTCATTGCTTTCAAATGATCATGAAAAGCATTGTTAGGGGGCGCCCACTTGTCTTCCGTTGTTAAAAATCCGAAAACACCTAATCGATATTGAATTTGAACTAACACGACATCTTCAAACGCAGGTAGGCCCCATAACTTCGTTGTGGAAAAGAATGCGTCCATCGACCCTCCATGAATCCATAAAACAACCTATACGTAGGAAAAAATAGACTTGAGTATCTATGAAAGAATTTCATAATGATTTATTGTCGATTCCCTAACTGTTATCGTTCAACTGTAGTTAATGAAACCTTTGATTTAGAATATAAGCTCTTAATCTTGGAATAATAATCCTATTGAGTAGGCTTATCCGTGACAAAGTGTCTAGCATTAAATCGATGTAAGCATTTAAGAATATTCAATAGAATTTCAAGTGTAAGAATATCGACGTAAATGGAATATATCTACATTAGCTTACAGGTAGTAAATTATCTCTTTTTGTGCCGTTGGGCGATCGTGGAGTAAAGATATCCAATACTAAACAATTCTCGCTCATGAGCGGGTTGTCCGGCAAAAGGTACTTCAGGTACGTGTCTTTCCGTAAGCCGTTCAAACGAACTCTGTCCTGTTAAAAAACGGTGTGATATTCGTTATTATTAATCTATATTGTATAATATAATATTGTATACCATTGCTTAGAAAAGACTCAAACAACAAATATAAAATTTATACTCAAGGTAACATTGAAATGAAGCGTCATATATGACACGGGAATAAAGCAGAGTTTAACAATGATTCATAGTTACTACTCATTAACATTTAATTTTGACTAATTACTGAGGACATATGGATCTGGGAAATCCCAAACCATTAAAACAAACAATATTTTTGTGTATTATGTCATAGTTTACATGTTTAGCAAGAGTATTTGATGTATTCTGCTACCGTTATTTATGAGCATTTGTGATGTAACTTGTACCTGAACACACATGGGTCTGTTCTCATTCGTAGCGTCACGTACGCCATCCCATGTCCACGGGTCTTCGGCCGGCCGGAACCTAAAAACATAGTCCGGCGATCGGCCGTATTGAACTCCAAAATATGAATAAACGGGCCTTGAGGATCCAATGGCATTTCTGAGCGTTCCTTTAACTTTTCCATATTGCGTCTGCACAATGGGATCTAGAGATATATACGAAACCAGTGAGAAATAGGCAAATAGCAATATTTTCTCGCTGACTCATACGCCTAATCCATAATTCAACAGGTATTTATTATATATATACCTTATGATCATAAGTATTTCGTTGAAAATTGTTGAATCCAAACAGTTACTTTATTGCCCAACAGGAGGATTGTCAGTGTCACCTGTTTTAGTATTGCTGTACAGAATTCGTCAACGGCGGTGACTGAATAGTGCCAAATCGATTAACAGCGTAAACTTGAAGCCGTATTGAATTGCGACTAACGTGGTCGATTATACTTAAGAAAAAGAAGCTTACACATGGCTATAATACTGCGCTTAGACTCACCTAAGTTTGCCGCAAATGAATATTTCAGCACACATCCCAGGTACGATAAAATTATAGTTTTCAGCAATATATCCATTTTGAGTCATCAGCTGATCGATCCTATAGTTGCAGTATAACTTGCTGCCTAGGCTAGTCAATTTCTACCGAATGATAGATATATAGTAAAGCCGGTGCTTCCTGTCAACGGAAACGCCAGAATACGTGCGATGCGAAAGTAAAACGCGCTAATGCTCAACACAGACTGAGCTACTATTTCAGTACTAGGGCTATCACGACCGAGTTTTATCAACGCAAAGTAGTGCGATTGTTGAAGAACTGGCCAGGACAGTGTAACGAATCCGCCAGGAATTCAACCGACCGTGGAAAAGATTCACTACAGGGTTACTTACTCAGTAAATAATACCAGCAAACTTAAATATCGGTCGTGCAAACGAACGGGCATCATCCCACAACGCGAAATGTATTGAGAAACTCTGTCGATACCCTCAATCAAATATATAGTTTCGCAATCATAACCAATCAAGCAAATCGCAAAGCGAGTGGGGGCAAAGTCCTACATGACTGCCGCGATCACAGCAGAAACAGCGCTCGTGATGAGCCAATTTTGCCAGAGAATATATTTCTGTGAAATGCACCTATTACAGCAGTACCAGACCAATCAATAATTGAATATTCGGCTACCAAACGTATTGAAGGATTTATTACTCGTAACTAACCTATCAGTTAACAAAAAGAAAAGTATGACATGACATAAAAAATTGTACCAATGCCAACTTGACTAAATAATCACGCATTTCTTTCTGCTGTGAGCAGCACGATATTGACACAATAACTTAAATTGTCGGGCGCTACGGTACGCTCATCGATTTGTGATCAATTTTCATAAATTTGAAGACCTATAAACATATTGCTACATCTGCTGCACGAATGGTTGGTATTGGGTAGTCATGTTTTTCCATTTAACCTTAAAGTTAAGGTATGTTCTCAGTTTTATTATGTACCGGGATAAACTGTTTGATGCCATTAAAATACTCTTTAAGCAGGGCTCAATATAGCTACCACCAGCTCATCTTTTATTATTATACCACAATCAGAACACGGAAGTGTTCCAACCTGGAACCTGCATTGTCGAACAAGTCCCACTGGTTTCGTCGCCCCTGCAATACCATAACGAAAATAAGTCGTTCCAAACTGGGCTACCAGTACTATGCTCTAGTCTAGGGTAACGAGAAATTCCGACTCAACAGATGTCACACGTCGATCAGACTAATAACGAAGTCAGTCGTGCAGTGAAATGAGAATTAGTCATTATTAAAATTCGAACAATAACCAAACATGTCATTAAATGAAGAAACATAAATTCTATATAAATAAAGAAAAAGCATAACTATGCTTTAATAACTAACCTAACTATGCTTCTTGAAACAGACTGGTCCGACCAAAAAATATATATACATGAATCGACGATCCCAAAGTATGTGCACCAAGATGGCGCACAACCTGAACCCTAACCTGGTACACATACTATTTTCAGGTTGTGCGCCAAATCTGCAGCAGTTACAATTGAGCCAATTTTTATATGATTCATAAGCAATAGCAAAATCACATAATGTTATGCAGGTAAAAGAAAAGCTTGTGTGGTTAATTGCATATTATGATCAAACAAAAATGTTCAAATTACTGTATAATTTTACTTGAATTATTGTTGTTTTTATTCTTTTCGCCATCAGAAAGACGGTAAAAAGCGGATAGCATTTGTTCTCGTATTTTATCACTAAGTTCTGGGACATCGTCCAAGGTCATCCCCTCAGTTTTCACATGCGGAAGAACCTCAGCCACATATTTTCCTGGAATGAACTTGCGTTCCTTCTTGTTGTAAAAATCCTCATATGATTTGAAGACGACTGGCACAATCGGAATTTGAGCACTGACTGCTATATTAAATGCACCTTTTTTGAATGGTAACATCCCTTTTTTGTGAGATCGCGTACCCTCAGGAAATATCCATAGTTTAAGTTTTCGTCGCAATACTTCTCCAGCCACATGTTCTACGACGTCTTGAGAAGATTTGTGGTTAGATCTTTTTACAAATACTCCCCCGCATAGCCAAAGGGCTAGCCCAATAGGCCCTGCGTATAACAATGTATGTTTCCCCATAAACGACGAATCCGGTGGATACAATTCAGCCATTCCCAAAACATCGATAGAACTTTGGTGGTTGCTGACAATAATGCACGGTTCGTCTTCAATCATGTTTTCCAGTTTTCTTAGCTCACTGGTCAAACCCAAAGCTTTGCGAATCGGAACCATCATTCTGGAAATCAACTTCAAATTCTTGGTACATCTACCATTGTAAATGAACACCGGAAGCCCGACGATGCTGGTGCAGAGTAGATATACATAAAAAGTTGTCATTCGAGCTTCATATCGAAATGGTGGGTGAATGGCGTAAAGCAGGGCAATTCCCACGCATATTGTAGAAAAAACTAAGATTAGTATCATTTTGACCACAAAAAAACCTAGAAGATATATATTCAACAAGAGTACAAAGCAAAATTTACTTTAATTTTGCTATTTTTATGCATTATTATTAATACTACATTCAAATTTTATCACCTCTATACATACTGTACGTTGAAACAAACGATTCCGAATTGGTAATTGTAGCCCAGGGGGCATACATAGCTGTAATAAAGGCCATTTTTACGAAAAAAAAATATAATTTTAGTAGAGTAGGAAGAGACATATGATATCATGCCCAATTCTATCGGCAAAGGGTAGTTTTATTACATAACATTCAACCGTATCGATTGCTTTCTCGAAGAAAATTGTTACTTTCTTTGTGCCAACGATGCGATTATACTTTGACCTTTCGAGATTTTTGTTTCGTTTTAATGTCTAGTAATCGAAATTCTTGAAGCTTATTTAAAAATGAACCGAGAAGCGAAGAATCTACTAACTAAGCAATGAATACATCGATCGCCAAACATCTGATTTATATTATTAACCACCATTCATAGTAATCGCTAAATCTGCCTAAAACTTTGAAGCTTTTCTGTAATAATTTGTTTATATCCTATTCGGTCAAACGGTCTATCAAACCCGTCGCTTTCCCTCTCCTACCTCGCCTGTCATATCACACTGTTCGGTTGCTCGTGTTTTTAGTGATTTGTAAACACCAATTTGGTCACGTGCGCAGCACATTCACTGACGAGTGTTAAATTATCGCCAGCGATTCACTGCTGTCACTTAGAATGAAGGCGGCAAAGCAGATCGATTTTGCATGAGAATAAGTCAAGGCTTCCAAGGACGTACGATCGATTGCAATATATAAAAAGAAGGTTTTCCTCTTTTTAGGTCCCAATGATTTCGGGAAATCATATACTTTGCAGTAACTTCGATTTCCCCTTCGATCAGACTAAAGCTGTTAGCCTTTGACGGCGACAAACTAGAGGCCTGATTGACTTAAATGCAAGCTACCGTGCGCTGTATATGAATCAAGAAGCTACGATAATTCAATAATGGATCGAAGTATTTCAAATCAGGTTTCTGGTCAAACTTGGCAATGAAATAATAGTTGGAATACACAATAATTTTCTTTCATTTGCTGCTTGCTGTAATAATAACTATGTCTTTTATGAAGATCTATGAAAAATCAAGCTTATTTGTTTGTTTATAAAATAAAATTATCCAAATGAAAAAAGATGGATCCTTTACTTTGAATTTGCTTCATTATGTTTTTGAGAATTTGAATTCTTTGATTTTCTGTTTGTCGAACAAAATGCATTTAGAAACATATTCTTTGAAAAGCTCGGCTAAATGAGTTTAAGATGTAGCCAGCCTTTATCAGGATATTCATCATTATTGCTTTTCCAAAACTTGATAATTTACAAACTTGAGCCGTAACTAAATTTAAATTTGTCGTCTTAATTTTTTGTTTCTCATTTTTCTTAAATTGCAATATACTTTTTGAAAACCTGCCAGAAATTTTGTTTCAGTGATACACAATATATATACCATAGTTTGTGCCTAGAGTTCTGTCCATCTGTTGTGCTGTATTTTGATAAAGGCTCAGTATACCACGAAGTACATGAAGCACTCGAAAAGTTTTGTATTACAAGAAATATATTGCTTCTTATTGATTACTTTCTAGCCCAAATGATGCAAATTTTCCTGGGCCAAAGGTGAAACCGGTTATTTGCTTAGCAGTTTACTCTAGCTGACTGGAAAGACAGAAAATTTTATTGGACACCAAGTGGACCTATAGATCGCTATAACATTTCTATATTTCAAAAAAATTATTGTGGGCTTTATGGGATTCGATTTTTACTTCGAATCTTGTGTGATGACGTCATCGAAATTAAAAATTGCGCGCCATTCCACGGTTCCGTGATCACATCTTGGTGATCTGGTAGATAATGTACCAGTATTGCAAAAAAATTGATACTACTCCGTGTATTTAAGCATTGTATTTTCAGAGTAATTGGTATCTTAGGTCACGTCCTAACATACGGGCATTGCAGTTACGTGAACCATCCTACGGCGGCGAGGAATGCAGCAATCCCCTCGCACACATAATTATCCCCATAGTTTGTTTCATTCGCTACGAGAACATGATGTCATAGAGTAATGTGGCAACCACTATTGTGGCGGGAAGCGAATTTTTGCTCACGATCTATTTCTAAGGATTTCATTCTGGATCGTAATTTTGGAGACGTTAATTTTTGCCCATTCTCAACCACGGATTTGTCCCTCTTGCTCTCACAAATTTTGCGTTGATTGGTAGAACTGAACGTTGATTGGTAAGACCGAACATTCTAGAACGGTGGTCAGAATTTGTCAAGTCTCGCGCCCCATCTCAGAAATACCTAGTTAACAATACGCTACAAATAACAGATATATATATAGTTAAACGAAAGTAGGCTATGTTTTATTCAACGAACACGTTAGAATACGTGGATGGAACGTAAATATCCAAAATAAAGAAATGTGGGTATTCCCGCAGTATGTGTACCAGGTTAGGGTTAGGCAATAATTTTGTTCTGATTCCCCTCACTTTAGCTCTATTTAAGTTCGGGGACTGTCTGTGTTAGCCAAGTGAATATACTCTTGCTCATAGGTTTCAGTCTCTTCACACAACTTTATGTAAGGTAGGCGAATAAAATTAGCTCATATTGGTACACACACTTCCGGAGCACCGAAATGTGCAAGATCAAATCCAACTTTTATTTTTAATTAGCTCCACGCCCGTCGTTTGATAACCGCTGTTCTGGTAAATGCGCGGATTGTAAATATCAGAGTAGTAAGTAGAACCGAGCGTTGATTGGTAAAACCAAAGGATGAAAAAAAACGCGCGGGGTAAAAGTCATCAAAATAAGTGGAAACGAGGCTTGATTGGTAAACCAAATATTCTAGAAAAGGGGCGTGGTAATAGTCACCAGACAAAGTAGGAACGATCCTTGATTGGTTAAGCCTATGATTCCAAAAAAAAAAACGCGCGGGGTAAAAGTCATCAGAAAAAGCGGAATCGGGCGTTGATTGGTGGAGCCGAAATTTTACAAAACGCGGGATAGTAATCAACTCGGTAATCAACGCTGCCTCGACCTGAGTCGTGTTAGTATACTTGCCGTTCGCGTGTCATCAAGATGTCAAGGTTTTGTTTACAGGGCTATTCTATGGCAGTCGCGGACATGTGATAGGTCAGTATTGAATATAACCCAAAGTTATGAAAGAAGAATAGTCTTCAGAGTAATAAAATCAAGTACATAAGAGTCTTCCAGAGTTGAGTTTTAAGCGTGCGCGTTTTTAAGGAAAATTGGAACAAAATAATAGGCTAACCCTAACCTGGACTACATACTACGTTCCGGTGCCGCCATCTTGCTTCACATACTTCAGAAGTACCAAAAATTTAATGGCATCTTTGGCGCCGCGAGCAAAGTAGATGAATATTGAATGATTGATAACTCAGTAGTAACAAACTTGTTAAATGATCACAGTTTGATACGGCAATTTTAAAAATTGATTTGCAATTCCTGCCGCGCATGTTTACGTCATCATGGACTGACTGAATGAATGTTCCGGAGATTTCAAATACGTCATCGACTTCTGCTCATGCTGATATTGTTTGGGAAAAGATTCGCGCGCCAGAAGTATATATGTGTACCAACATGGAGGTAACTAATTTTGTTCGCTTCCTCAACATCAAGTTATTTAAAGAGAACCTATGGGCACCCGCCTAACACAGACACTCCCCGAACTCGAAAATAACTGAAATTGTAACTGAAAGGAAAATTGAAATAAAATTATAACCAAACCCTAACTTGGTTTGCATACTACGGGAGTAGCAGAAATCAATTAGAAAATTGTACCAACATCGGAGTAAAATATTTTTTTACGAAAGCATTGCATTCAAATAACAAGAATAAAATTATCATTCTATTGCCATTCACCGGTTCGACAAAAATTTCATAATATTCGAGTGTTTTTAAGAAGACCGGCAACAGACATCAAATAAGTGAGATGAGATACAACAATAAATAATTTCACTTGCGTCAAATAATCGTTCATTCAAGGCGGTAAAGTTACTAAAACGTGAGAACAATATTTTTAATTTGTCGCTTCTAGTCTATTTCTCGAAACGAGGATTTTGAAAATATCCAACTAATGAGTCGCTAAAGTTTATAACCTGCCTTGTTCGTGCGTTTTCTAGTCTTGCTAGGCAGGGCACAGCAGTTGTCAGATTATATTTTGACCCTGAAAAGCAAATTTAAATTTCCGAATGTCATATGCAGTGTTATCATTTTTTTTATTCTAGGCCAACAGAACTTATAATTTCGCTTGTAGTTTTGTGTTCCTTGTGCAAACACTTCTTCGCTTAGACTTTATACATTGGAAACCTAATATAAATTCCTAATATCATTCTCAGTGTTCCCATGTTTTTTTACATCTCGGGGCCAACTGAACTTATATTATTAATTATAACAGTAATAACTAAACTCCTAAATGTTTCACAGGAGACGAGAAAGATCCACTGTTCGAACGGCAAGCTGAAAACTGATTTAGTAATTCATCTGCCGAATCATTTCACCCGGACATCTCAAATACGTTATCGACTTGGAAAAGGTATTTATTGAAACAATTTGTCGTTTAGACTAATTATTGCTGCTAAATCAGATATTGTTTTAAATAATACGGCGCTCCAAAAGTGTGTGTACCAATATGGAGGTAGCTATTTTGTTCGCCTTCCTTATACATCAAGTTATGTAGAGAGACTGAAACCTATGGACAGAAGGTAATACATACAACCCCCGAACTCGTAACAAAACTAAAATAGGGTAAATCGGAATAAAATTATGACCTAACCCTCAAGAGGTACACATACTACGCGAGTAGCAGAAATCGACTAGAAAATTGTACCAACAAAGGAGAAAAATATTTTTTCCACAAATGCATTGCATTCAAATAACAAACATGAAATTATTATTCTATTGCCATTTTACAGGTTCAAGAAAATTTCACAATATTCGAGTTTTCAAGAAGA